TCAAGGTCAAAATCCATTCCCCTTACAGTGTTAATCCAAGTTTCAGAAATAGCAATTATATTAAAAGAATGTTTTAGACTACTAAGATAATGTTTTATACTCTGGAAGTTTGCGTATAGACTTCTGCTATTAAAGTGAATTAGTGATAATTTGGTTAGCCCTGCGATGGATTGGCGACCAGTCCAGGGTGTACCCCGCCTTCGCCCGATTGCCGGCCGGGATTGGCCCCCCCCCGTGACCCCGCAAGGGACTAAACGGTAGAAAATGAATGAATGAATGAATAGTGATAATTTGTTTTCAGTCTTGACATTGCTGTTAAACTGCTCATCCGTGTAATACTTTTCTTAAAAAAAGTTTTTTTCAGGGTCAAAATCTTCATCCGGTTCATGATAATGAATTTCAGTATTTCCAGTTGTGTTCAGTTCCAGATCCAGTCCCTCGAAAACTATTAACTTCTGTAACAAATCACTTGCCTCATTCCGTACATGGGTCATGCTTGTTGTTGTTGGTTCCAACACTCCTCTGCCATCGCAGATATCAATATACCTGCGTGTTTCTTCATACATCTGAGGGTCCAGCGACCCCTTCATACTCTCCTTGTCTCAGCATACTGGTCCTCGGCGTGCTGGTCATAGGTCCTGGATTCTGCTTCCGAGGTCAGGTCACTAGTCGGTCATACCGCAGGAACGCGATGTCTCCCCTCACCCTGGCCTCCCTTAACTTCGGCATCAACTCCCTTCTTCTCTTCCTCACAGAGTCGGTGTAATCTTTATTTATATACTGTAAATATTAGATCCTTTAAGCTTCTTTGCTTGTTGCAATATATGTGCCTTATCTTTCTCTTTCATCAACTTGCAGTTTATTCTTCAGAATCTCCTTCACTTTACACTCTGCTTCCGTCCAGCTTTCTCCAGCTGTCTCCTTGATTCCCTCAAAGATCAAATTTTTTCGCTTGGACTGTACTTCCAAATACTCCATTTTATCCATTATAGCTATTAAACTCTCACAAGTTTTGTAGACATCATCCCTTGTCTCCTTGGTTTGTATTTTCTGTTCACCAATGGCAGCTTTAATCACATCCACATCTCGCTGGGTAAACTGCAAACTCGTTTTTATCTCCTGTATTTCTCTGGTCATGTCGTCGAGTCTCGTTATTTGTCTCCATAAGTAGTTGCACGAAGCCTTTGAAGTTTTCCTGCTGTTGGTTCATCAGCATTTAAAAAAGAAGGGTACTTGGTGTGGGTGATAGTGCATTTTTCAGGCCCCTTGTTCAACATTTTCAGCCTTGTTCTAGGCCCTGTCATTTATTGTTTTTATTCAATAAAGCTGTAAATCTGTCTGGTTCTGCTTTTAACATCTAAGATATCAGGCACTAGTTCAGGTCTCTTGGTTCTTCACTGTACTCCAGCATGATCCACATCTGGGAAAATGGTCCCCCTGAAATGAAAATATTCATAAATAAGCATGGAGAACACCTTGAAATATTTTCTGGGATCAAGCCACAAGTTTTTACAAAAATTGTGTCAAACAGTCTCTCTTACCTCAATGTCCTCATGAGGGCATCTTCCCATTTTCCACAGCTGTGGCTCTAGCAGTCTGGCTATGGGAGGAAGACAAAATAGACTAAGTTATTTGTTCTGTAAAGATAAAACTAAGTGTGGAGGACATTCCACTGAAGCATGCAATCAAATTAAGATGTGCAGAGTTACTACTATAAAGCCTAATTTAGAGAATTGTTTAATATACTGCTATAAAATTCAACACTGATATATAGTTAAGTGCACAGAAGTTATCAAAAACAAGACTGCATAGAGTACCTGGATGTAAAGTCAGGTTTCTTTGCAGCATCAAGGAAGAACTCCAGAGACATGGACGCCTTGTACAGTATCTGGCCATTTGGAGGATCAGAACATCAGCTTACTCAAAGTTGCTTACAAGTTAACTTCTGCATCATACTTTCTTCTTAACTGAGCCATTTAAATTAATAAAATTTCAACTTTTCTGGAAAATATGCCAGTTCAACCAAACAAGTTGATCCACAGTGAATTTAAAAGATAATTCTGTCTGCCATAAACATTACAGATAGAACACAAAGTTTTTAACTAAAGCAATACAGGCTCTGAACTTTTGGTAATGGACAGCGTTCAGCATCCTCACAGCCTGGAGGATGAAGCTTTGATGATTTTTGTGAATGTGTTAGTTTGTACAGGTTTCTGTCTTTCTGTGATCAAAGTAATTGTTATAACTAGGACAGACATTTTAGGACTAACTCCCCCCGATGTATCTTTCAATAGGCCACAGAACGCATGGACAAGCGTCTCGGGCATGCTGAATCAGCATCCACACAATTAAATGATTTGATTGGCTCTAGTTTTATTTACAGCATGCCACATAAACCCATTAAATATCCCCGTTGATCAGTAGTATCTTTGTCGAACTTTTAATTTTTGTTTTAAACCAATTTGACAAGGCATGAAATTCTCCCCACCAAATATGACTGCCCATGCATTTGAAACAATGGGAGCATTTCCACTCAGAACACCAGTCTAGTTTGTTTCCTTGTATGAGCATGGTTAGTCCTTGTTTATTTGGGAAAAAGTACACAAGTTGTAAAAACCAACCCTAAGCTCACTCTGTCTGAGAGCATAGGCAGCTGGAGAGAAGTCCTCTTCATAGATTGTGACCTAACAGAAGCAGAACTTCCATAGTGAGTGAACAGTGCCACCTGCTGGGGTACACGTTCTCCAGCAGTTTGTGCTGTGATTGAGCAAATTTAAAATTTGTTCAAGTTTAATAAAGCAGTGTTTCAATTAGAACAAGAATCAGAGAACACTTAAAAAAAAAAATGAGACAAAGTTCGGTTCCTCTTTATTTTGTTCTTTATTACACATTAAATAGGAGTGGTGAGATTCATGGCAAAAGTAATTTGAGATCAGATCACCACTCTACACTGCCCACAACAGATGTGTTGTACGTGTTAAATGGTCATTCATTCAATCCCCTAAACCTGGACCCAGTCACACTCTCTAGTCACATACACAGTGGAGTGAAACTCCATTAAAGCAACATTCATTTAGACACACCAACGAAATGAAGCACAATTTACAAAATATGCACCTTTCAGTATCACAACTATACAAAGGTTAAAATACGATCCAGGTATAAATGGTACATTTCAGAAGTCAGCTGTTGGCACGCAATAAATGAAGAGGAACATTTCAGAAAAACTACTTTTCAAGCAGTATTGTTAAAAAGAGGGTTCCATAATTAAAACTGCATTAACAGTTATCTACTTCATAAAAAACAGAGGTAATAATAAACTGGGTCAAAATTCATCAACTCTGAAAACAATGCATCATGTCTGGATTCTGTGTCAAAAGCATCGCTCCTCTAAAACGGCATTTTGTCCATTTCTCGAGCACACACAGGAAAAAGTAAATGTATGTCTCGGCTCATTCTACTGTCTAAATGTAGCACCTAATGCAAACATAAAAGGCAAATAAAAATCTTGGGGAACAGCTTGTGAATGTGATGGAAAAGGTGAAGTACGAGTTGACCCGGGAAAGAAACCAGGGCTTTTTATTTTAGAAATTCAGACAATTTTCTCAAAAAAAAAAAAAAAGAAAAGAAAAGATAATTTCATGGCAATTATTGCCTCATTTAAAAACATCAGTTCCAGTTACATCACCACAATACCCAAGCTTGATGAGAGAAAATTACCAATTATTTTGCTGGACAATCATTTCTTTTGAAAGATAACCCACCAAACAATTTCAGCATTTTAGGAAATAAAAACTCTTTCAGAAGATCTACATTAGGAAGAACCAAAAAAAAAATAAATGTTTGGACAAAGTTTTGAACAACCTCTGTGACACTACACCAAGACAAAAGTTCGTGAAAGCTGCTTAAAAGACGCATTTTGCTCGCCAGTCGCAAGTAAACTAGTCGACAGCTTAGGAGAGCGTCCGAGGCAGGACACCTCTGTTCCCAGCTACTGCAGAATCACAAATCCAAAGTTTAGCATTGAGCCTAAAACACTCTGCTTAAATATGAAGTCCTCTTTCAGGAGAATGTTGACAGGAGACCTCTGCTCATTCAATTTACTTGACCACCAAAGCCAACATAACACAATCATGATTATTCTCAGGATGGATTACAACAATCCTGCAGTCAAGCCTTTAAATATTGAAAAGTAGCGAATTTGTGACCAGCGAGGTCCATCAATCCATTTGACGTTAGCTTGTGATGAGGCACAAAATGAGTGAGCAACACGAAACCTGGCTGCTCGTCCCACTTTATCCTCAGAAAATGGGTAAAACTCCAGATCTTTCAATCTCACATTTATCAAGCAAAAAATGCTGATTTCTTTATCACAAAAGCAAATATTAATTATTGTTTAGGAAACTGAAAAATTAGACAGATTTCCACCTGGGTCACAGTTCCTCATTGCTGGCTCTGTTAAAATGTATCAAGAGGCAGTTTGCAACACGTCGCGTCGGACACAGTACGCACCAAAACAAAAAGCAAAAACACTCCCCACAGAGTACAAATATTTGACAAACTGCTAATTAATTAAGCTAATTAGGGTGCTAAAACATTTAGAGGAGTTTGCATGCATACCTATTATCAGTGATGTCACCAAGTCACAGCCAGAGGTCATTAGAGATGGGGACATTACACAGTGGCTGGAACATTTGGATCTCATCTGGCTGAACGTTGGTCCTTTCTTCATATCTGGGTTTTCTAAGCAAAACAGGATGGAAATTCATTCTTTGGCATCCCATAATTCAAAAGGGGCATTACAATTTTTGCAGGTCGTCTCCCTTTAAGCAAAGTTTTCCAAAAAAAAAAAAAAAAGCCAAACTTGAGTTGTGATGCAATTACCTCACAGCTCTATGGTTATAGAAAACAATCCAAATCAACATAATCCTATAAAATAAAAACATGCTGTTGGACCAATACATGTGGGCAACTGGCACTACACTGAAAATAAAGCTTATTGGTGTCCAGGTAGCAAATAAAGGCAGAAAAACTGGGTCAGGTTTAGTATTCAGTATAGCAGGTATTGAGAAAGAGGCTAATAATTTAGTGTAATGTACAAAAATGTATTCTTTAACTGTTCAACATAGGGGTTTTTTTTGTCTGTCTTGAAAGGGGCGATTATTCACATAAGTGTACACTTTGTCTTGGACTTCTTTTTCTTCTTTTTGCCCTCCTTGCTCATCTTCTCCTTATGCCTCCGGATTTCTCGCACTAATGTGTAAAAGGCATCATCAACGCCCTGAATAAAAAAAAAAATGAAATAAGAAAAGCATTGTTAGATTATTACATTTTATATCATAATAAATTAAAGCATTGGCATCTTGATGGCAGTTAAAGGATTGACAGTAATCTTTGATTCTGAGGTGAACTTTTAAAGGTTGCTGAATTTGAAGGGTAATTCCACTCTAAACAATCATTAGGACAGGATTAAACATCTGTTGACAGCTGTGTCCTAAACTAGAACCCAAACACTCCTGTCTTTAATATCAAGCTGATGTGTAGGCTTGACTTGTTCTACTGCCAAAGAGAAACAAAATTAAATAGCAACTTTTTTTGTGGCAGTTTAATTTGGTTTTAATTGGATTTTTGTCAATTCCACACCAGAACACTGTCAAGCATACATCAGCCTGACACAGAGCGCAGGTGAAGTCAGTTCAGGCTACGTGGGACACAGCTGAGTAAAAGTCAGCAGCGTTCCCACCGACAGTAGCTGCACTTACATGAGCCAGTGTCTTTCCTTATGAGTGTAACCCGTCCAATGTACTCCCACAACGTGTTCAAATGACTGCTAAATAAAAATGACAGAACAAGCTGTCCTGTTTACATTCCCAGTAGTCCATGTGCAGTCCACCAACGCAAGCAAACCAAAATAAAACAAATAAAAATGCTGCCTGTTTGAAGTGAAGTAACAGTTTTATAAAAAATATTCTACAAACAGAATTATAGGACAGAAGGCGGGCATTCTGTTTATTACCCCAAAACTAATAAACATAAAACTACTCAGAGGCCTCCCCTGAGAAAAATGCACCACTCAAAGACAATAGAAAACCCTTAAGCAAAATAAAAGAAAACAGAGGCAGCTGAACAGCTTTACCTAAAGCCAGCCAGTGAGATCGCAAACATCAAAAGTAAACTGAAAAAGCTTAAAGAGGTTTTAAATCACCACTTTCAAACTGAATGTTTTTGAATGAGCCAGTTTATTCTGATTGAAGTGTTTTTATATTCTTATCCTGATTATTGGTGAATAACAGGCTCCAAGTAAATGCAGCAAGTGTCAGTTGATGCCACACTGAGGCGAGTACGTGAGTACCAGAACAGTTTGGATAGTGCAATAAACGTGATGTTGAATCTGCAGAGTAAAGAGCCTGATGCTGCTTCAGGCTGTGACAAAGACAGCAGGTAAGAAAAGAGTAAAGACCGATGCATTTGTGTCTGCAAGAGAAAGAAAAAAAAATGTTCTCACCCACAAACACAATTTTTGTTCACAACATATCTGCCAGTTTCTTAAATCACATCCTCCTTGGAAACATTTCAGTGCACGATTTGGTCCCAGATTCACCATAATCTTTTAGTCACATGAGCCCGAACCCTTTCTTCATGTTGATTTCAGCAGATTAGGATGCTTTCACACTGGTAGTTTAGTCTGAGTCGTGACCAATTCGCCTGCAAATTTCATAAAACTGAGTACAAGTATTTACTTTTCCTTGTCTTGATTGGCTCTAGGCCAAATGTAGCATGACTTTTATGCACATTTCACTGATAAATAAACGCACTCACTGGTGAATGAGCACAGATCAACAACCCCAACTTGGTGCCAGTTTCTTTTCCTCTAATAAAGTAGTAAAAGAGGGGTGCTTGTGTTTCCTTTAGTTTTTTTTGTACATTCAGATGATTGTGTTACTTCAGTCATGCTCATGTGGCCCCGTCTGCTTGTACAACAGTCTCCTGTTTTTCTTGCATACATCTTAATGCGCGCCATCATCATTTTCATATGGAAATAAGGATAAAAGCCTGCACTTAGATAAGGCAAGAACTGAGAAAACATGCTCCCAAATCAGAACTGGACTAGTGTGAAAGCAGACCAGCAGGATTAGAAGAACGGTGGGGTGGGGGCACTCAAACTTCACACTCAAGTAAATAAACCCAGTGTGAAATAGCTTTGAACAATAATACACTTAGACACTGAAAAGAGAAGAATTCAGCCGTTTCAGCCTCCTGTTAGAGCTTCACCACAGCCCCAGTAGAAACCAGCAGGTTAGTGTTGAGAACCCATGAAGCACCAGCTCTCACTGCATGTCCTCTCCCATGGCCTTTTCCATATTCCCAACTAAGATCACACACACACACACACAGAGCTGGTGGCCGCACGGTTGCATACACTTACCCCGTTCACATCACAACACATTTTTTAAGCTTGACACAACGAGGAGTCTTTTCTTCCTTGCTGAGCTTATTGAGCCGGTACAGCCTGATCTCCCGTACCAGTGTGTAAAAGGCATCTTCCACTCTCTGCAGTATGAGACACAACTTCCCTCAATGTTGAGGTCAACAGGGGGACATACTATATGCCTACAGATATAATAGGAGTGAAACAAACTGGCAGTCTGATGGGACTTCCTGCAATATCTGGCCTGTCTTATCATATACATAAACTGATTCTTCACCTAGAATCCATCTTGTGACTACTGAATGCTCACCTACTGACAGCCTGCAAAGGTCTGTCATTTCCTTCTACTGTGGTTAGACTAAATTTCAATGGTGACATGTTTTTAAGGCAGAAAATTAAATCCAAGCATCCTTAGAAACTCTCCACTCAGTATGTCACAAACTATAACTATTTTGCCAAAATGTAGCAAAATACACTGCTTCAGTTTGCTCTTTTTGAAGCTCTGACAGAAGCCGTGTTTTCAGCTGTATTTCTACAAAACAATGATTGCTTGAAACATACTGAGCACATCATGAAAAGCAATAAGGTGGATTATGATTTAGGAGTAGTTTGAGAATTTTAATAGCTTACTTTTGTCATGAAAACATCACCAACGGAAGCAGTTTAAATCAACATAAAAAGAAACTAAACTTTAAAAACGGCAACCTTCCAAACCTATAGTGCATGAGTGCCACTAAAAAGATTAGGGTGGATTATCACTTGATCCACCCAACTGTCTAGCCTTAAAAGGAGAGAAGTGGATGCATTAGAAGTGTATTTTGAATGTGGGCGATTTCCAAAAGAAGTCTGATTAAAGAGATTTGGAAAACAGTGGGTGGCTTTAAATCAAAGAGTCAACTGCTGGTGCAGAATCAGCAGCGCAGTGTGGATATGGATTGTTGGTACACTCAGGTAGGAATAGGCGAACATAGCTGTAAGAAATGAATCACTGTTATTTCCCCTCACCAGATGGAGCGTGATACATCCCAGAGACCAGAGAAGGATACGTCTACAGATAACTGACGCCACACCGCTTGATGTGACCACACCAGATCTTCAACATCCAGTCACCATAATCATTAACTCCTGAGTATTTAATAATTACGTCCTTTCATGCAGACTCCTTGACACACATTCATTTTTTTCCCCCTTGATACACATTCACTGATTTTAATAATGCCTTTGCAGTTGGTGTAAATGATGATGTAATTTCCACATGTACATAGAAAAGCAGCATGCAATGATTACATTAACACCCAAAGGGGGCCTAATGACGCACAGCGCATTGCCCGAGACATTTCCAAGCAACATTATTTAGGAAAAAGAAAAAAAAAAACACCACAAAAGGCACTGAATGTGACAAATCAACAGCACCACACGACTCAAGACATTGCTCACACGCCCAGTGCCAAGATCATTAAGCTTTTGCAAGGACTCCTGTCAAAATTACCACGAGTCTTTCTGTCTGGAGCAATAACATTTGATTTCAAAGTGAAATTTATAGAAGGCCTGCTGTGTCCATCAAGCAAATACCCCTGAGGCCACATGCAGCATCTCACCATCCAACATGCTCTACAGACCTGCAATGGAACACTAAAGCACTTCAGTGACAGATTAGAAAATCAAACTGTCATCTCTGGCCACACTCTCACCTGTCTGGTTTTGGCTGAGGTCTCAATAAAGGGAATGCCGTAGCTGCGTGCCAAGTCCTGAGCCTGCTTGGTGTCCACTGTCCGGGACGGGAGGTCACACTTATTCCCCACCAACACCATGGGGACATCCTCAGAGTCCTTCACCCTCTTAATCTGTTCTCTGGACAGCAACAGACACAACAGGAATGTAATTTGATTTTAATTCAACACAGGTCATACTGTGATGGTGAATTATTGTGATGTTAAAAAGCTTTGATCTGCTCAGAGTGACTAGCAGGCCATAATCAGAGTAGGAATACAGTCATTATTGGTTTCTGTTCCATCTTGCTACCTATTAGGACATGTATAACAAATGGCAAGACCTATATTAAATCTTATCACTTTTTAATATATATTTTTGATCATTCTGATCATTAAACAGTGAACAGTAGAGAGCAGACAGGAAATTAAGGGTTACTGGTAAAACACACTGGAAGTGTTTTCTACACGCATCTCACACTGCAGACAGAATTCCATTATAGGACGGTCCACGCTGAATCCGTGAGACGCGTGTCTCCCATTGAACCCTTGTGTTTTTTATGTTTCATGTCTAATTCTTCCTCTCCACAGTCATCTGTTTTAATCACACAAATCCTGTTTTCTGCATCTACTGGTATCTGTTACAACTGATCAGGCTGCTTGAGTTTCCCTTTCACCTTCTCCCTCTGTAACCAGCCAGGGAAAATCAATTGAATCTAAATCCATAGGCTACAGAAAAGATGTGACTTCTTCCTGATGATCTTACATGAAAGCTATTTTTGTCCATGAAAACTATTTTCATCCTGTACACTTGTCTTGTTGGTCGACCTGGTAAAGACACCGTCCCACCGCTGTCCTGCTGACAGAGCGCTGCTCTGATGATTTTTAACACACTGAACGTGGCGCTCATATCTTGCTTTCAGTGTAGACTGAATGGAATCACGCTTTGTAGTGCTTATGTCTCACTTCCAGTGTGTTTTACCAGTTCGAGAGAAGAGTTATGACCTTCAACAAAAGGTTCTTGAGCAGACTCAAACTAGAGATGTTGCGATTTAAAGGTCAGTGTTTCGTCTTACTCGCCACCAGGATATCGCAAAATGCTATCCCTTTTAATTCCAACTAAAATGCTGCGTTCAGAGTGGTTTCAAAAACTGACGCCTTTTAGTCTCTTAGCTCACCTATAGTGATGAATGTCCTCAAAGGACTTGGTATTGTTGATGGCAAAGACACAGAGGAAGCCCTCCCCTGTCCTCATGTACTGATCCCTCATGGCGCTGTACTCCTCCTGACCTGCAGTGTCCAGGATGTCCAGCAGACAAGTCTCTCCATCAATTACTACCTGCTTTCTGTAGGAGTCCTGCAAGAAGAGGTGGTCAGAAAGGGATCAGGACTCTGGGATTACATGGACTGAGTGTAACCAAATGGCAGGTTAATAAAAATAAGAGGCAGCTGTAGAAGCCATCATTTAAGAATTATTACGTATGTGTTTTAAACATCTATGGAAAAATAGAGTGCAACCACTTTTTAAATGTGTACATGATTGAGATTTAATGTTTTAGATTTCTTAGTTTTATTAGAACAATTAATATCACAACATCAAGAAATGTAGGTATTTAAAAATACCAGGATAGTGAACTGTGGTAAAAATATAAAAGGTCTGTAATATGATGTGTTATTTACTATTAATTCAAAGAACTTCTCATACTGATTTATCATGACGTGGTTTTACTGGTATGATTTTGCCAAAAGATGCATTTAATTATGATCCTACTCTGGTTTCAGGGCAGTCCATTTTCCAGCAGTGTCAAATTATAATGAGGTTCTAATTTCCACTCCAGCTTTACATCTCACTGCCAACTACACTCAGTCTGAGCCAACAATTACTGTCCGACTCAGTGAGCAGCCATTGTTTCAGATGTTATCTTGCATTCAGACAATCTATAGTCAAGCTCTGACCTGCAACAACAAATTAATAATTGAAATCCAAATGAGACTGTGTTCAATGAGGACAGGCTCCCTCCCCCCTCCCCTAAGAAAGCAAGCAGGCAAACATGCAAAGTTATTAAAAACCTGTTTGGCCTCTGAAGACAAACCAGAAGAACCTGCTGCAACTCCTTTTTTGGGGGAGGGGGTATTCTTTCATGTCCTGCCCTCATACCAAGTTCATTTACCTCAATAGTGGGGTCATATTCATCCACAAAGTGATTCTGGATGAGCTGAATAGTAAGTGCGCTCTTGCCAACGCCACCAGCTCCCACCACCACCAGTTTATATTCTGTCATGATTCACCTGCGGGACCAAAAATCCAACATTATAATCAGTTAATTCCACAGACACAGACAGTCAGCTAGCACAGCATAGATTCATCTGGGGCACCATCAAAGCCTTAAAAGGAATCATTTTAAAGTGTGTTTCTAAGATGCATAAGCCTGTTAGCATTAAAGATTAATTTTTTCTTTTTCCCTCAACTAGCTCCATTCCCCAGTCCTCATTTCTGTCTGACAAGTTGTCAGCTCAATGGGGAATCTCCATCCTTAGGGTTCGGTGGACTGAGGAAAAACTGCTGGTTTAATAACTGATGATTTACTGGAAAATTGGATTTCATACCATTATGCTTAGAAAATACTTAATGTAGTATTCATCAAGAAGCTTGTGAAAAACTACAACCACCACAAGCAGAATATGACAGTTCATCTGCAAGAGATCATTTGCAAATGAAGAAATTCAAAAAAAAAAAAAAAAACACTTAAAGTGTTATCGATTACAGGAAATGTTTCCACAATAAAGTAAAAGGAAACAAGACAGTTATGAAAATTCTGTAACCAAATGTATGAACCTGGCAAAAACATTCAGTGGTATTTTCTGAGTAGCAGCTACACAGCAGAAACAAACCCCAGGCAGAAATCTATGACATTACATTAAGCTTCCAAAATTGACAAGCAACTGGGAGGCTCTGTGCTGTCTGGCTGCTTTGTGGAGCAGCACCCATCAATAGTGGCAGCTGGCCTTTTCAGAAGTCACACTACAAGCTGCTCTCAGCTCCGCACAGCCTGCAGTCAGGGAGGAGTGCTACTGACTATTACTACCTTGTCTAGACAAACAAAAACAAGAATGTGGTTTGATAGGTGTTTGGCCAACCGAGGTATAGTTTTACTGCCCCTTTTTAGTGTTCTCAACACTTTAAAATGCTCCGCCACATGACCTGTTATACAGAAAAGCATCTGATACACATGACACCAAGGCTGTTCTGTCCATGAGGAAAAAGTCTTATCTTTAAGTAAGCAGATAAGACTAAAAACTACTGGCAATGCCCCAACACTTTAACGTTGTCTGCCACATATCCTCCAATTCCTACAAAAACACTCATACTTTTCATCTTAAAATGCAGTGAAAGTAGAAAATGTAACTAAGGTGTCTATTCAGCATCAGACGGGGACGTAACGGATGAGCCTATGGTTCAATAATAAGCTAACTCAGGCTTCCAGCCCTCGTTTGTGTAGTAAAGCATTTTAAGGCTAGAAATCACTGCGTATACTTCAACGTGTTGCGTCCAACTGTGGTCAAGTTATAATGCTGTTAAAAGCGAAAATCGCTTCCTGGAAAAAAATATAGTGGCAGACACGGTTGCTGTTTTCCTTTGGTTTGACGCCATCTGGATAATTTAGTGGCCACATTTTATTTACTATAAAACTAACAACATAGTCTTGCCCGGTGGAGAGCTACATTTTACAAATGAGCACACCCGCAGAAATCACCAGCAGGGCGACTAACGGGGAAATGAGCGATAAATTAGCGGCCATGTAAATACAGAGCTACTTTGCAGCCGTGTGTCAGCTTTGTGAAATAGCCGAGATTAAAACAGGTCTCCCCACTTTTCAATGAAAGACCCTGAAATTTAGCAACAACACCTAGAACAAGCTTAAAAGTGGAATATGATTTAAATCCACTGCTCCGAGCCCGCGGGGTTGCCAGATTGGTTGTGTGAAAACCTCTGAGCACTGTTTAATAACCAGGCTGCTAGGCTGTTAGCTATGTTAGCACTGGAGCTCGCTCACAGCCTCAAAAAAATAAAGTGACTACCCTCTATGAGCTGACCTAGTGTGACTTGCATAAGCAATTCATTTATGCAGTATTGTCTGCACCGTGTGCCTGGAGTCAGTATCATTCATTCAAAGGGAAAGGGGGCAGATTTTGAAGCCGCCATTGACAGGCTAACCCAAAGGTCTGCATTGCAGGGCCAGGCGTTTGGGTTAACAATTGGGCGTAGTTTGCACAAACAACGAAAACGAATATTTTCAGTGTAATGTTGAGTGGAAACATAACGAACAACATACCCGCTATATTAGTGAGTACAATGCTGCAACAAATCCTAAACGGAAACACATGTATGAACCTTGTCCATTTGTTTTACCTTTTAGCGAGTGGAGTTCCGCGTCCGAAGTAGCGACCAAATAAGTCAAGCTGATAATCCGCTCGTTTCACACGATCTCTGCATTTCCTATTTCACACCGAAGCGCCCGCATTTAATTCGGTCTACCTCGTCTCAGAAGCAAGCGGGAACATGCAATAAAGTGGGCAAATTAATCGACTGAACTTTCCATTTGAGCCAGCGTCCGGCCTAGCTGTTCAGGTTGGCCTCTTTACGCGAATATGGGCGGATACCGGGGCGCACTTTACCCAGAAAGCATAGCTGGGGATTTCAACCGGTTAGGGGCAAATCAATCGACTGTGTCGCAATATGAGCAGCGATACCTTCTATTTTGTCACTTATACATGTATATATAGGCTACTACTGTTGTTTTAAACAGCTTTAATTTATAACTGTAAACTTTTTTAAACCACGATGGCCTCTAGTAATAATGTACAAGTAGTTTGTAAGCAAATATTACTGGAATGTTTAGGCTATTTATTAAAATTAATTTAAAACCAGTCGGCGTGATTCACATTTATGCTCTAAACGATCACAAATAATAATATAATAATAAAGGTCACATGGCGTCAGTTTCAGGACGTCTCCTTTCGGTAACAGGACAACCTGGTGCTCTCTGTTTCAGAGTCAACAAAGCCTAGGGGGCGACTCCACTATATATAGGCTCTAAATATAACTGGAATGTGCTGGAGGGACGTCATTCCCAGGCAAGGAAATGATTTGGCAATCCCTTGTCAGTTTTCCTCCGTGTTCGCTAGGCTACTTCCTGCGCACCATATGTGCATAGGCTAAATATATGCAAGGTTTACAACGCAACGCAAACCATAAACTGAAATTTATGTCATTTTACGCGCATGGTAAGTAAATACTATTACGATAAAGTAATATTATATACGTGGCCATGTTAGAGGGACTGCTCTCTCAAATTAGCCGGGCCTATAGAAATTTTACAATAAATGTTAAAGGGACACTGTTGAAAAAAATCTAATAGACAGGAAACACAAGAGGTGACATAAGCATAAAATACAAAAAGTACGTTATACTTTGACTAGAGGTCACACACTGACTTCCTGTCTGGAACTAGTCCAAGCCTCGCAGCTTCATTTGAGATCACAGCTATATTAGTGATTTAGAAAAGCAGTGAGGGCCAATTTTAACGCAAAATTACAGTATGCTTAGTGTTGCTTTAAGTAAAGAGCTCCCTTGTCATTGGACAAGGGAGCAACAGAATTTGGAGATGCCTACCATTTAGGCTATGAAGAATTTATCAAATTTAGGCTATTTAATGAGCACATCCTGCATCATTGCAGTAATTAGGCCTACTCTATCGTTTCTGAGACTGGAGTGTTACATTACTGTTACTGTTTTGTAGGAAGGTATAAAACAGCATCTTCTATATCTTAAAGAAATGTTTTTGCATTTGGCCTACTATATTTAGTTGCAGTTGCATGTAATTAAGCAAATATAATATGATGTATTGTTAGAGATAAACTGTCTGATTAACCAGTATACAAAAGCGTTGTTTTACATTTAAAGCATCAATGATTTCACATTTAGAATATACATATTTTTCAATGGCAGAAAGTTCACTTGAACAGGAATACAACCACACTAAACAGGTCATTAACAACACTATATTTATACATGCAGTTTTATATCATGCAACATAATTCATTGTAAGTTATAGTTAACACAAAATGAATTTAGTGTAAAATTAATCTGGGGCCGCTGGCTTATTTGGCTTGTTCCTACTGTAAGTTCACTTATAAATGCAATGCACAAAAACTTCAGTGCAGATGATAAATCTACAAATCAGGTACAAAATCTCTACCATAGAACAGCCTTGTAAAGTCATTACATTTTCTACTGATAGATGCTATAACATGTATGGAAAATAGCTGATTTAACAACAATAAACCCTTTTTTGCAGCATTTTAATACTTCTTAGCATGAAAGTGTCTGATATTAATAATAACAATGGCACTTTATGGAAAAGAGTCATCACTGACATCCTTTTTATTGCTGTCCTGCTATGACAGATTAAAATATCCACCGTGACAATGGTCTATAATGACGTAGCATGATTATTTTACTAAGATGAAGTGCATCTTTAGAGAATATTTTGTGCTCAAAGAATAAAACTGTAATCATGATTTAATCAGACTTGATGACTAAGAGCACTTAAACCTGCTGATTACACCACAGCTGGAAACCCAGATTTTGGAGAATGGAACATATAGACAGCAGTCCAGCTGACATTATATTACAACAGGAAAGTCTATACTGTCACAAGAGGGCAGTAAGCCTCCATTTATATGTGGTCCTTTTGCTAAATGTTAATCACTTTTTCAGTTCAATCTGGGTTTTAATTCATCGTCTTTTGCAAAGTACTTGTGCAGGTATATATTATATGCCAGATGAAGTGAAAATATAGTTTTTACATTACCTCCTGTTTAAGTCTACTGTTTATTTCATATTGACTGTTTTACATCGGTTTCTTTCACAATATGCATTAAGACTAGTGCTCTATAGCCTACCATGTTTAATTATTAATTTTTAAAATAATTTGCATAGTTTTATGTCATTAACCAACACATTTGTTGTAAGAGACAGTTTTTATTTTGTGGTATGTCATGTTGTATGTGAAATATGTTTTTGTGCTTCAACTGCATGGTAGGCTATTTCTGACCATTTAAATTTTAGATTTATGTGCTGTAATTGCAGCCTAACATTCGCAACATAATATTCATTTTGGCTGTCAGTCTTTAAAAGAGTGGTTTTGATGATTTGAATGATTTGATCCTGCAGTGTCTTTGAATGAATGCAAAGCACAAATTTCTTTGGTCTTTTATGAACCACTTTTACTTTTACATGTCTTTGTTTGGTCCCTGGAGGACTCTCAACCTCTCTTGTTCATTAATAAAGTGCCTTGAGAACATTCAGAGTGCAAACAAGCCAACCAACGGTTTCATGATTTTTGGTTTGACCCTGTCACCTTTAGCCCCTGCTGATAATGTCTTATTTCTATATATTTTATATATTAGGGAACCATCGGGACTGAACTTCCTGCTATGGACACAATATACACACAGCACTGTCGCAAAAGAGCAGAGTACATAATTAGAGACCCACTCCACCCAGCTCACACTCTGTTCGGACACAAAAACTGCACCCACAACCTCAGACACAGCAGAGCGGACAGTATCATCACACACAGAACAAGATTTTACAACTTTTTCCCTGCCACAGTAAGACTGATGGCAAATACAAAATGTGAAAAACCTGTCCAATAACCCCTCATTACCCTACTAAGTAGAAGACCATATACAGTTACACTATGTGCAATACCATGTGCCATATCTGAAACTCCCCATTTTACCTGCTATCTTATAGGAATAAGATACCCATAATTTTATCAACTATATTGTATTCTTGGGTATTCTTCTTTTTTGTATTTTGTATTCTTGGGTGATCTTATATTTAGACTAGGTGTTCGTTCTTTTGGCTTTAAACTCTTAACTTAACTCCAGAAGAGCCCTGCACAAGAATTTCTATATGCCTAGACTGTGTGTTTATGCATAAATAGAGAATAAAAATCTTGAATCTTGAATATATTTATAATATATGATTTATTTCTTTATATATGGTTTGCTATGTCAGTATCTTATCGAAAGAAGAGTCTATCCTTCTCTCCTGCTGTTTAGATTTCTTGGAAGTACAAAAGCTGGCCGGTGGTGGCCTCCCCACTCAGTGTATTGCAGCTTTAAACAGTCCACAATGCCTTGCGGTGTCCCAGTTCCAATGTGATGTATTTACCAGCAGGGGTACTGAAACGGGGAGAGGGGCTTTTTCCGCAGCTTATTGGTGAGCCCCCAAAAGGCTAGCGCACAGAGAAGACCGAAGCAAACTTTCGGACAGAGGACCAACATATCGTTATCTGTTTTTTCGAGGCATCCGTAACCTTGTATTCTGTTTTTGTCCAGCAGTCAAACGTTACTTTGTCGCAGTTCGTTGGAAGTGATTCATTGGGCAATGGTGAAGGAGGACAAATGTTGCGGAATTCGCATCTTTACCTGTGTTTTCCTCCTAAACTTCACTTCAGATAGGGAGCCCTGAGCCGAATCTTATTTGTGCCATAAAGGTAAGACCAATACATGGACCTAATTATAGCAGAATGTGCAGCAGATGAGCCCGTTGTAGTTGTGAGGCGAAGATAACGGAAACATTTCTGTAGTAGAAGAGTTGGGCTACTCTCTGCGCTCACTACAGCCCCTTCTCGCCATTTCTCCAACCTCGTCCCAGTCTCGCTCGACACCAACTAAGAGGTAGAGATCTCTTTTTAAAAGCACTAACGCATCCTGTCCTTCTGGATGATTATAGGGCCGAAACATCAAGCGAATTCGTTGTTTCTTTATCTGTAGTTTGAGTTAAAAGCGTTTGTAGACACTGACGGCCGATTCAGACTGTCACTTTGCGGTATTATCATATTAGGCCTTTACATTTTGTTGAACATACTTAAACTGTTGCTTTGCCCTTTTCCACACAACTGACTGTCATCAGGTTCAGCATCTTCTGCAAATACAATATCTCTCATGGTCTGAGCAATGTTCAGACATCAGTAGTCCTAACAGAGTCTAGATATAAAGTTACAGTTACAGTTCATTTTATTTATACTGTCTCTTCACTACATAATGTACTAATATGCACCAGGTGTGACAGAACCAACCTGTGTAGTTGCAGCACTCAGTCCGGGTTTTAGTCTCCCTGTCCTCTGCTTTGTGATCTTAGAGGGCTGCTTTAAATCAGAAATAGAATCATGTAATTCACTTGTCTTTGCTTTGTTTAGTGGCATCATAGCGGCATGGAGACCAGACTGCAAAGAACTACATACAAATTAGAAAAATAAATAAGTTGTGCCACCTTCCTATGTGGTTGCCATTTCAACTGCTGCTGTAAAACCGTTTCGCTTCTATAAAAATTCATGTACAAGAGAGTGATTCAACACCAAATGATGTGTTGCAAACAGCTCTGACATGTAAATCTTGGCCAGAGGCCTCTTGCTGCCCCGCTGTGCCTCTTCTCTAGTGCAGGAGCCTGCTGCCTGCCCCGCTGGTTCTTTAAAGCTGGCTAGTGAGCAGTGAATATGGCAAGGGAACAAAGGCGGCATTATAGCTGGCTGAACGTGCCGTCCAGATGTTCGGGATCCTGCCAGCACTGACCTCCCAAATAGGGGAAGCTGCTCCAGTGCCTAATAGTTTAACATCAGCCAGGCAACCAGAGAGAGAGAGAGTGGAGGGGGAGAGGGGCTTGCTCCAGGGCAGGGGCCACAGGAGAGCTCACTAGAGCTGTGGGTGTGGAGCATGACTGGACGTGGGTTTAATCCCAAACACCCCAGACTTCATACCGCAAAATTAAAGTTGAAGCTCAAACTCTGAGCAAGTGCTGGCCGATACTTGTTCCTTTTTTATCAATATTTTGGAATGACTTAATACTTTAAGCAGGCGTGCTGCATTACAGTGTTCAAAAGTTTAACACACAAAAGGGGTTTTACAGCTGTCTTTTAGCCTCTGGTTAATGTACAGTGTCACCTTTGATTGCATATAAATGAACAATTCTTTTTATTGCAGGGATTATGTCTTCTCATTGTGTAGAATGTAGACTAATGCAAATGAGACTCTTGATTATCTGTCTTAAGCTTTACCTTGGGTGCAGTTTCTCGAAGTGTCATTGTGTATCTGTTGCATAGCAATCAAAATCACTGTGCGGAAAGACCCATAGATTTCTTATCTCTCAGTCATGGCCCGTTGCATTCTCACAGCCCAGGAATGCATACCCTGGATTTTATCAGTTTCCACTCTACAGGATCAAGGACCATCTCGTTGCCATGCCCTGTGATGTTTGCATTTGCAGAGAGTATTGAAGCGAGGCTGGTATATTTGTGATGATGAACTTCTTTATCCTGTTCCCACTGTAAGAGGCTTTTAACCACAGGGGGGGTCCCGTGTATACTACATTGGTGGTATACTGGTGCCACCCAAATATGCTTTAAGTCTACATATTGTACAGTGTTGAAGCACTTAATGACAATTTGGAAAAATTCCTCCAGTTTGTTCTGACCAAGCTACCACCAGTGCCTCCACAGTAAATCAGCATCTGTCTCTGACTGCTCATGGAGATCTATTTCACAACAGATCTGCTACCGATTACAGCAGGGTATAAATTACTACTAACTACATGTTACTCTACAGGGAGTGCAATTTAAATTCAAGTTGGGTTAGTAATAGACAAGGGGGTTTACTGTAAGTACTAGAACAGACTGATGTCACTTCAGCCTGTGAGTATCCCATTGTCTTTAATTAACAGCAGTGTGGGGGAGTTTTGTAGAGCAGAAACCTTATACAATAAATCTGATACTTGGTCTAATTAGCGACTTGGATATAAATGAATTCAAACCTAGTGTCAAAATTTCAGTGCTTTCTGAAAAGGCTATATTGTTTTCCACTTTTATTGAAGTAAATTTGAGAGGAATCAGAGTGTAACAGCATCAATTCATGGAGGGAGAAGCTGTGGAAAATGAGTTTTTTCCTGTAAGATCATTTTTCTTAGCTTGGTTCAGTGGCTGCCCCACTCTTGGTTTTGTTTTAATGTACTCAATGCCCATTTTGTTTTCCTCCAATATCCCCTTTTTTCAGCAAACTACTCAGGCTAAGTTCAGGATACTTTACAAACTCCAAAGCCCCCCCAAAAAAGCAGCGCCACATTTAAGCTCCTACAGTAAAAACTCTTACCTTACACCATCATGGTGTATGATACTGCAGTGTGTTGGTTGTGTTGGAGCCCACACAGGAGCATATGGTAGGTTGTTTACACCAGCCTTTTCCCTGCCAGCTCCATGTGCTCCTGTAGGCCTGGAGAACTGTCACCAGCAGCCTCACCGCTCTGAGGGGAGTGCATCTTGAGTCAACACTACTCAACCGATACAAGAGTGAAACAAATGAATGCAGGCGCTTTAGTCATCTGAGTCTGAGGTTTTGCTGCAGTTGATTATCTAGAATTCACAGGAAATGAAGTCCTCGTAGGTGCCATGAAATGCCATTCTGGCAGAAGCCCAGTGCACAAATCGGTGCAGTGGGCTTGTTCCCAGGCTGTGGCTTTGACAGGCCAGAGGAATGGAGTGTGCAGAGCTCAGGATGGCACTGTGCCCCACACCACTGTGCCTCCATCATCACTTGGGTTTTCTGGGTTAATGTTAATGAATATAAATATCACGAGCCTGGACCAGAGCGACTTTTGTAAATGCCTTGCTGTATCTTCTTGAGCTTATGCACGGAAGAAGCGTTGAATCAGCCCGTTTGTTTTGTCTTTGCTGACCATGAAATATTCTGTTCTATTTGATCATGTGTTTTTTTTTTTTTCTTTTTTTTTGTCTGTGTATTTTGTTTAGTTTTACAACTATTATTACAGTATTATACAGTATTCCATGCAGTAGTCTTACAGAGTGCGTTGTCATGTCTGGTTTTTTAGCCACTTTTCCCTTCCCCCTTCTGGTGTATCCAAACATTCCCCCTGACTGATCCCACTATGCCTGCTTTGCATCAAGATGTCCTCCGTCCCTATTAGTGTTTCCACAGCCCCCTGGAAAAAAGGTTAAACAAAATGGTGACAGTGTTTTGGGGTCACCATTTTTCTCGCAGTGTGCTTGTGTGTGACTATTTTCCTTCCCTTCTCTGTCCCTCAGTCGTTAATGCCATTTAAGGGCAGTCTGAATGAAGGACAAAAGCGGTTTCTAACCAGCCGTGAACGCATCAAGAGCCACCGTCAAAGGTGACATGCACACTGCACATCTTGGATTAATACAGAATGAGGTGCACATGTAGTGCATTTGTGCACTAAACATGTTGTAAGTTGCCATTTTCTGTTTTTAAGCTTATGAAATGTGAGATTTGTTAGTTTTCTTTGTTTTGTTTAACACTTTTGGGTTTTGGACAGTTAGAAGCCTCGGGCTTGCGATTGTGACCTTTGTTACTGTATAAAGTAAACATTTAAATGGGAACCAGGAAAAAATAGAATAATCAATAATGAAAATAATCATTAGTTTCAGCTTCAGTGGTCGCGCTCTATAAATGTCACCTTGCAGCTTTTCTTAATGTCTTTACCATATTTAGAAAAGCAGCGGGGGGTGGGAAGGACAGGCTGGTATGGATGACTTTGTGAATGCGGATAGGGAATACACAGGCTGGGAGAGTGTAATTGGTGGAGGGTTGAAGAACAAAGGACCTTTTGACTCAGACGTGTAGGTGCAGTGAAGGTTAGATCCCTAGAGAAAATGATACCAATCTCTCCCGGTACACTGTCCTTGAACATTTTGGAAGGGCCTGTCCCTTTAGATGAGTCTTTCCAAACACTGTCACTAAGTAACCCTCATGTTTATAACATGTGCTTTCTAAGTTTGATCATGTTAGTCACCAGTTAATCTTTGTGTTTTCAGCACAGGATGCAGGCTGTAACAATGCTGTGAAAGACGTGGTGAAAACGGTGAAAAGTAATTGGCACCAAAAACAAAAGCCTAATACTTTCTCTCATCTTAGGACTCTCCTTTTCTTCCTACACTTCCATGCGTTTTCTGTTTTACTCTCTATGCCTGCTCTCTCTGTGTAACCGAGTTTATCTTCCTGCTCTGTCTTCACTACTTCCATGTAATTTTTTGTACAAAAGCAGGAACTGTGCTGGGAAATAGATGCTGGCAGCCTCTTCCTATTCACAGAGGAGAACAAAACAACAGCATTATGGCCAGCTGGTGCTGGCATGTCTGGCTGTATGAATCCAATCTGGAATGGGCAGTCCTTTTACCTTAAGATACCGTGAAAACATCCAGACTGTACCTTGTATTTCCTGCTCATTAATTGTGTCAAGTCAGTATTTCCGCAGGTGGAACTGTTTGTACGTCTATTAAGACTTTTTAGTTAAAAGCAACGGAGCGTTAAACCCTGGCCTTGAGAACTTCCTGACTAAATGCTTCCTGTTTTCTCTTGTGCTTCCAGTGAAGCAGCCAGAGTGACTTCAACTGCCTGTTAATAATGTCAAGGCCAACACAGCACAGAAGGTCCCCTTGCTTCTGACCTAACATGGAGCTTAAGGTCTGGGTGGATGGAGTCCAGAGGGTCATCTGTGGGGTCACTGAGGCAACCACCTGCCAGGAAGTAGTGATTGCTCTAGCCCAGGCCATAGGTAAAGAATTTATTCCTTTGAGCGGAAATGGTATCTTTTATATAACAGTTTAATGATTGTATAGCTGTGATCTGATGGTTTGGTTCTACCACAGAGATTATGTTGGTGGTGTTGTTTCACAAGGAATAGTAAAAGACAGTTTTCATTTCACTTGTCTGAATTCTTTGTCACTTAATTATTCCTTTTCCTGTTTATGTACTCCTCCGTGTCACACTGATGGAGAGATGGTGAAATTTCAGGCAAACACTCCACCACGCTTTAAACCAATCCAATGCCAGTGGAACCGGGCTCTTGTTCATCAGTGTGTTGCCCATTAAATTCTGCTTCACCATAATTCATCTGACTGTATAACACTTCTGTTTTACTGTAGATGTTTATAAAATAGGACTTTTAACATGTCTGTTGGTTAATATGGTATTCACGTTCATTGCATTCCTGTAAACTGACATTTTTTCCACATACAACCGGCGAAGCCTTTTCATGGAGTGTGTTGTTCTGTATTCATTAACACACATCTGTTATCTGGGCATAAAACTGCCTTTTGTTAACGAAGTCCTTATGCAATAAACAAGTATTTGGGTCTCCTGCCTACAACATACACTCCTGTTGAGATAGAGTCCGGGTCACATTCAGAAGCTTTATTGGTACATTCTTGCATCTCTGCACCTCCTCGTTCCCATATGGCTCCTTCAGGAATGGGTGCACGAGCAGAATGTAGTGACATCACTACCCACAGAGGACGGGGTAGGAGGAGGGAAAGTGTGACTCATGCCTCCGTCTCTTGCCAAGCTTAGTACACGGCCCCCTCCTCTGCCGTTTTCTATTAAAACTGTATACACCATGTTGAGTAATCAGACGTCAATATTGATTTGTCACTCTGGCATTTTACAAGTGTTTCTGTCTGTAGGTGTTGTGTCTAAATTTTCTCTAAACAGCATTAAGCAATTTCTTTTTTACGAGCACTGAATCAAATGGAATGTGAAGGAGTTGCTCGTAGTGCTGAAACCATGCAGATCTCAGCAGCTTTTATCCTCTAGCCTTTTTTTTATTTTTTTATTTTTTTTTTTAGCATTTTTACTCTCTGGTTGAGATTTAATGCTCTCATCTCAGTTCTAAACCACTGTAAGCTGTTTTCAGAAACCACATTAAGACAAGTTGGCTGAAATTTTAACTTTCCAGCTTGACTTCAGTGGGATGTGTTGCTGAATATTAAAGAAGACAGGTGTTTCTTAACATGTTATTAACAAATGCAAGCATATAATGGCTGTCTCCTGGTGTCTATAGTGGTCACAATTGGTTAAATTAGCTTTAAAAGTAAATATTCTTGCATTGTTGTGTAAACATCTACAAGCATAAACATTTGTTTCGAGTCGTGTTATTTCTAAGTGGGCTGTTCTGTTGTGTTATTTAAAGGTCGCACTGGGAGATACACTCTGGTTGAAAAATGGCGGGACACTGAACGTCACCTTGCTCCTCATGAGAGCCCTGTGGCCTCTCTGAACACCTGGGGCCAGTATGCTGGTGACGTCCAGCTGATCCTGCATCGTACAGGTCCCTCCCTAACTGAGCGACCTCCCTCAGAAGGACCCCCTCTCAGGGGACCTGAACGTGGGCTGCATCGGCAGAGCCTCCCTCCCCTTGCAAAGCTTCGTCATCCCAACGATCACTCCCTCCGACGTCGTGAACCACGCAACAAGTCCCTCACATTCACCGGTGCACCTCGAGGCCTAAGGGAGATCTTGAGCGGGGGCCGGATCGGGGAAGGTGAGGCTAAACGGAGACTTCTCTTGGGAAATGGTGGGAATCACCACCATACAGGACCAGCAATCAGGAATGTATCCCCTGGCCTGTGGGCCTGTCACATGGAAGATCTGGTCAGACTAGTCGGTCTACAGAGAGAGACTCTCAGCGTGCTGGAGAGAAAGCTGGAAGCCTATGAGGCTGAGCTCCAAGCCTGGGCTGAAGGGCGAGGGGGGCGAGGTGGAGGGTGCACTGGGGACCCAGGTGGTGGAGGAGGGCTGATAGAAGAGATCCTGCGGCTGGAGAGACATCTGAGGAAGAATGAGGTGGAGATGGAGGAGGAGGAGTTTTGGGCCACTGAGCTACAGATTGAATTAGAGAGTGAAAGACAGTTGGAAGAAAAACTACAGGAGCTGCGAGGACACCTGCAGGGCTGTGAACTGGAGATTGAAGAAAAGCTGGCAATGATGCAGGTGTGCTGAATCTTTTACTAAAAGATTTAGTTGTTTTCCCACATCTTAGTTGATCTGCTATGAGTTATGGTTATGTTGTATATTGAAGTATGTGCTTTCCTTCTTTTTCTTTCTTTGTTCCATAAGGGTGTAGAGGCAGGTCTGGAAGAGGAGCGGCTGCAGAGGGAGCGGCAGGAGACCCAGTGGGTCAGCGAGGCGGAGGCTCGGGCTCAGGTCCTCAGGGTCAGAACAGAGCTGAAAGCCCAGGAGAGACAGGCTGTCCAGCTGGAGAGCAGCTGCAGAGCTGTGGACAGGTCAATTGGACAAAGCAGCAAGAAAATCCAGGTGTGTTTTTCTAAATAAAATAGGGCTGCAGGGTGATACATTGATAAGGGAGACCCGCCATCATCATCTGTGCTTGAGCCTAGTGGCCCAAGGCTACGTTAGCCACTACTAGCATGACATCAAACCTTTAGCCAAACTGTCAGTGGTCAGGTCGCATTGTGGACGATGTACTGTAGGTGTCAGGCTTTGATAAGGAAGAAGAATGCATGGAATAAAACCAGATGGTTTATTATTAAATGGAAGCGCATTGTTAAAGCAGTGGAATACTTTTAATTCAGTTTAGAATCAGAATACCTTAAAAACCTTTTGTTCTTGTGCTTAATTAATGCTGAATGTTGTTTTTTTGCTGCATATAATAAGAGGATGCTTTCTGGTGTGTGTTTCAATGATTCACACATCAAATCAGTTAGAAAAACCCTTTGTTAGGGTTTTTTGTATGTGACAAATGATGTGAGGAATGGCTTAGTAAAAGTGACCTTGGATTATGATACTGTACAGTATTCTAGTTAGAGGTACAGGTGTCGGTCTTAAGCAGTCACTCGTATGGCCATAGTGGTAGTGTTAGTTGGTTAAATAAAGTGAATATAAATACAGCATGGTCAATAATAGGGCCTAAACATCAAAATAATCAAGCACAGCCATATGTTTTGTGCCTGTACAAGTCGGCTTCAAGCTGCTTTCCTGTTTCCCGACAAATTTCTGCTGTGCTGTTTCATTGAAGGACATGCAGCACGAGCTGGAACAGCTGACCAAGGAGCTGAGGCAGGTTAACCTGCAGCAGTTCATCAAGCAGACCGGCACCAAGGTCACAGTGCTGCCAGCTGAACCCAGTGAGGATGAAACTAACCACAGCAGTCATGGTAAAGTTAATGTCATTTTGTTTTAAAGGCTTTTTTTCTCTTGATGAATATTATTCAGTGTTAGAGATTTAACTGATCTTTCTTCAACTACAGAAGGACAGTAACATTCAGCAGACAGTGTTAGGTATACCCGGGTATCTCCTGATATTGACACAGATGATAAAGAAGAAACTGACCTTGTACGTACAGTTGGTAGTCAGGGACACAGGGGTCAGTTACATCTCAGTGGTCTGAACTCTTCTGGGCTAACCCAGGACAGCTATTACAACTTAATCTGATGTTAAAGTGCAAATGACAAATGTTGCCTTTTGGTTGCCGTTCACAGAGGCGACACGTGAGCTTTTGTTTGAGTCTGTCTATGCATTGAGAAAGTCTTTCCTGCTTGTTGTTTTTCTGCCTCATGTCTTGACAGCATGCTAAAGGTTCAAGTGTGTGTGAGACTGTGACAGTAACAGCTTGTTTTCCACAAAATAGATATTCTACACACCAAATCAAGCCACTTAAAACAAGTGACCTCTGCATACATGTAACATTCACAGCAGTTGTTCATCTTTACTGAGAAAATGTGAAAATGTGGCCAAACATATGAAAAAAAACAAGACTGCAAGCACAGGAATGAATGTATGTCTTCATATACAAACATAAACATTAAGTTTAACCCTAATTCCCAAGCATGCCTAAGAATGATTTAGTGTTCCACATGCCCACTGCCTTAAGAATTGGTTAACTTGTGTTAATAAAAAATGCATTTTTAGTGGGTAAGTGCTGTATTTTGGAGTTGGTGTTTGAGTCGAATTTGAGGAAACAAAAATTCAATCCACCTAAATGAATGCAAGGTTTTAAATGCTGTATTTTGGAGTTGGTGTTCGAGTCGAATTTGAGGAAACAAAAGTTCAATCCACCTAAATGAATGCAAGGTTGTGTGAAATGTGGAGAAGCGCATTTAACAGTGATCGTTAAGTTTACACCTCCTTGATTTGATTGTAGGTCAAATCTGTAATAGAACAGTTAACACAGTCTCAATCAAACTTAATATTTCACTTCTGACCGCATGACATAATTGCATGATGCACTCCATCGCTGCAGTGGGCCTCTTTATTCAATTTAATGGTTTTTCACTTGTGAGAGTATTGAATTGAGCGTTTCTGTCCTTGTTGTAACCTTTCAGTTCACATGTAACGGTCGCTGCTGGCTGAGAAGTTGCATGACTCAATACTGCCCCTTGGTGGTACCACAGCAGAAATGTCATGTAGCACACACACACACAGGACTTGCTTTTTTATTATTTTTTTTAGGCAGTTTAGTACTTTTTCTCATTCATACAAAAATTAGTGTGAAAATGATAAACCGTTGAAACACTGAAGTTCATTCTGGACCTTTTCAGCAGTAGTTTGTTCAAGAAATCTTTCTCCAAAGGTGGCTACCAAATCTTATTGTCTTCATCAATGAACTGCATTTACTCGGTTGTCACGTTGTCTGTCAAACTTTAATATACAATTACATTTAGAGTGCTGTTTTCTTATTTCTTCTCAGATTTAATTCCTTTGTCTGGCTTGTCCAAGCGCCCTGTTTCGTCCCACCCGGTGTCCAATCACATCCGAGTGCTCCACAGTCCTCTCAGTTCAGGCCTGAACCCTGAGGGGATCTATGTGTGAGACAGTCCTGAATGGAGGGAACACATCTTGTCTCCTTAAAGGGCCCATTTTACCCCAGAACCCTTTTGTAAACAGATGTCTTAGTACAGGCTACCTCAGTAGCACACCACTATGCACTGTTGTTTCATTTGCCTGGCAGCCTTGAGTGTGAAGACTAATACTGAACAATAGTGATCGTTAAATGGAAGTTTCTGAGCACTTGGTGGTAAAGGAATACGGCTGGACATTATGACATGAAGAAAAACAGCAGCACAGTCTCTGAACATGTTAGGACTTCATAAAGAATCAGACTGTTGTGAATTTCTTTTGTAAACACTTAATGTACTTTTACTCTCACTTTAGTACCTGCTGAATGATTTGTAATGCTTTCATCACGAGCATCATGATTCTAAACTATTGCCTTTTGAACAGTATTCTTGGGAATCTTAGTATTTGAATCTATGAATTATATTTCTGTATGCCATCTCTGCCGTGAACACATTTTGCCTGATGTAATGACAAGTTCCTATATAAGTAATGAAGGACCCACTCGGGTCTATAGAGAAACTATAATCAATCATTTTGCATATCAGAATCTATTCCTGTAGCTCTGACTCTGTTCATGTTGAAACTATGCACAAATGGTTAATAGTTTTGTTACTGAAGAATGTTCCTGTGTATGTACCAAACAGATGACTTACTGTAAATGTTTACTTATATTTCACCATTATTTAGTGAATGGTTGTTTTACTCCAAAGTGGTGCACTCACAGTTACAAAAATGCAGCGCCTTCATTCCCACAGTGATATCTGCATCATGAAACAGTGTTAATTATCCTCTTAAGCTGTTTTCCTTGTTAAATGACTACACAGTATATTTTTGCCAAGTGTGTTCTGCTTGTTTTGCTGTAAGGATTGGCAGCCAAAGATTAGGACGTCTTAATGCATGATCGTGATGCTAATATAGCCATATGAGGATGTGCAGAGAACGTGCCGTACAGTAAATTAGTTAGTTGAATCAGAAAAAAAAGGTGGCATGTAATAGTACAATGAACAGTTACAGCTACAGTGTGTATGCTTGTGAGTAAGTCGACGATTAACGAGAAGTTTGCGTGCATCTGTAGAGTCAGAGTAGCCAATATATGAAGCCCCTTTTAGGTTGTAGTTCAGCTGCTAATCACATCAAAGTGCCTTATACTCATTATGCGGTTGGCGTATTCAAACAATGTACAGTAAAGCTTTAGTAGAAACATTGAGACAAAGAACATTGTCAGCTGAGATCGAATGTAGGTGGAGAGTGCACAGAGAGAAATGGCAATCGCACAGCAACAAAGAGGAAACTGTAATTATCTTTAATCTGTCAGTATTTTGGAGAAATGTCAATGGAGCATTATTGATAGTGCTTTCCACTTTGCTACTGTATTAAACCATAAAACTATGTGCTGTAAAATGCATTGATTTTTAATCCGATTATTTCTTGCCATGCAACATACTGTACACTGTAGTTTGGATCAGTACTGTCACCCAGGAAGGGAAGACCACCCTGTAACAAAACGCATATCATTACCACAGTGTGTCTCTGCTTGTCATTGTACGGAGAGACCTGTTTTAAAATCCTTAAATTTAGATTAGTTTATGATTGTCTATACATATGTGGCTGGTTTCCCTTTAAGAAACCACTTGAGTGCATTTTCCGCCCTGGGATGAGACGTAGCTGTGGTCACTGTTTACAACTATATGTTCTAGAGAACTGTACGATGTCGATTGTACATAACCTGTTTTTATTGTTTGTTTGTTTTGCCTTAATATACTGCAAAGTGTTGACAGATGTGTGACAGATGTGTGGCTGTATCTGGCTACTGATGTGATATGGGTTGCATGATTCAATAAACAATCTGACACAATTGGATGTCACAGTTGGAGCTCGGGTTAACTGTTTGACAGGTTTGCCTGTAGATGTTTGGTAAAAAGTGTTGGGGAGTAACTAGTTACATGTAGCTACTGTAATTAAGTTACAAAATAAATGTAATTGTAATCAGTTACTGAGAAAAATGTGTAATTAAATTACACTTATCAAAATGTTGGTGATTACAAAGGGACTACATCCGAATAGCTTATTTTGAGTAAAACGCTTGTATGTGTATTTAATATTTGTTCTGTCGCTTCCCATCTTTTCGCCTTGCTAAATGCCTTCTTTTGCCATATTTCCTGACAGTGCAGGTCAGTAAAGCTGCTGGGACAAATAACACCATCAACGGTAGGATGGTCAACAAGGAGCCGTCTCTACATCTAGGCTCCTTTCATGTGGCAGCGTTTGTCAGATTTTGAAAGCTGCCTTTGATTGGTTCTTTCTGAACCTGATTCATGGAAAAAACTCTGTTTCACCAGTAATACGTAATGTAACTGAAGTTATGTTGAAGTTTGACAGTAATAAGTGTTGAGTACAGTTGTGAGGTTTACACTGTTTGGTTTAAATTTGTTTTATCGCCCAGTTTAAAGCTTTTTTTGAAAAGTAAAAGTAAGAAGTTACATTAATTTTACGAAGTAATTAAAACAGTTACCCTGTTAAAAAATGTCATAAGTAATGTAACTAGTAATCTGTAACAATTACATTTTGAAAGTCACCTTCCCAACACTGATTGTAAACGTGAATGAATTGGCAATATGCATCAAATAGTTTCCAGGTTCAACCAATAGATGGAGACATTTACTGAGTAATGATAAAAACATGGACGTAACATGTCTGGGAGAAAAACAAAGAACCACTTTTTCAAGTTCATATTCATACTTTTAATGCACAATGTTACTTGGCTTCTTGGAGAATGGCATCTGGTATCTGCTTTCAAAGTTGCTCTCACCAGTGAATGAAGATACAAAAGAAGAAATCATATTGTAGTTTGAACTGAGAAATACAAAGTGAAGAATAAAGGTCCTTGTTCCGTCAAACCGTAAGTTTACGGAAAAGGGGTTGCAACGTGCATGCTGTTGCACTAATTATATGTTGCCAAGGTCAAGCCAAGAAAGCATGGGTAATTTAGTACCAAGTGTGATGTGATTTTGCACAAAGATTAAAATAATTACATTAAGCCGGTTACTGTAACAACAAAGGACTGGATTTGATCTTGCTTAAAGCTTTTGACTAGCTGGGAGGGGCCCCTTGCTTTTCATCAGCCACTACAGACTGGGGGTAATCTCACTTCATCATCTTTTATCACAAGACGTGTTAAAAGCCTTGGCTTACTATACATTCTTCTGCTGTGACCTGTCACCTGATTCAGTGTTGGAAACGAAACATTTTATCTGCTTGACTTTCAGTACTGTTTATTCACAAAAGCTATTAGTGACACTAATTCTGAGCAGCTTGCTTGTAGTTCTTGGTGTCTTACATCATGTATGTTCGCCATGACCTAAATATTACAGGTAGATATTTATTGGAACAGATTCACACAATAGTATGAGATTGTAAACATGTACAGAATCTGTGTTAAATAAGACGCCTGAGGAGTTTAGCTTTGATATTTATTTTACAACTCATCAGCAATAATTTAGAACAGCATATGTGTAAAGCATTAACGGAATGTGCAACAGTTGCTTAGTTCAATCTTTAAAAAAAAAAATCCATGGACTTCTACAACATTGACAGACATGTATATTTTGTGGTATATTCACAAAAACTATTTACAGACACATGCCACTTTATATAACAGCTGATAAGAGACTTTAGGCGAAACCAGCTGAAGGAAACTACAAAAGCAATGTCATGTATGCAAAACGATACAATGCAACAACGAAAATCATTCGTTTAATCAGTGGGGAACTTTAAAAAGCTGAACAGCCCTACGCTTGCAGGATTTGAATTCTCAGAAAACAGGCCAAAGTTCCTAAAATGACAAAACTGTTGGCGTCATGACATGACCACAGTTTTCTTTCCCACTTTTGTCAAATATTTGAAAAGTGAGGTTTTCCATGATGATAGCATATAATGCAGAATAATGGATAGTCTGGCGTGTAGTGATGCTTTTGCTTTGAAAGAACTAGAAAGGAGCACTGTTTTGTTAAATTTGGACAAATTACTTACCACTTTACTGCATGGAATCGTCACAAGCACCCGGTATCTCTGTTCTGCTCTTTTGAAATAAAATCATACATATATTATATATATAATTTTTGTTTCAAGACAAATCAACACAAAGAGATGTACAGCGCTTAACTTTTGAAATTATAATGTGACAGCTGGGGGGAGATAAAAGCAGAAAAAGTGCACTTTACATCTCAAAGAATAAAGATCATCCAATATACAAACTTTAACAACTGGGAAAGTACAGGTACATTCAATATCAAAGATCTATAAGGTGCTATCCTACAATGTTTCCTGGAGGTACCGAGAGTTACTGCATCTCGGTGCTGAAATACTTCATTCAGGAGAGGTACAGTATGTTGGTCAGGCAGCCCCTTAAGAAGGTTTTGCATTTCCATTATTCTTAATGATTTCAGTGATTTTTTTTTTCTTTCCTCACAAAAACAATCATTTAAAGGACCAGAGCAAACTCGGATTTGGGAAGGTGAAATGAGGGAAATCAAGATTAAATACCTTTCCCCTTTCTCTCATTATTATATCCGATTGTTAAAGTAGCTGATTTTAGTATTTGTGGTTAGTGATGAAAATGGTGTGTGTTGGGAGGGCGGTACCATTCAGTTCTTCTGGAGGGACAATGATGTGCCTCAAAATAAGCCTACAATGCAAAGCTGGGATGAGGTACTGTAGGCGTTACACTTTTAGGAGCACTTCTTTTACAGGCCCATTTAGTGCACGTTATACATTAATGAATCACACTGTCTCCCAGGTAATAATATTTACAGTCAGAGTCAGCCAACCTCTTAATAACCTTGGCAGAGGTCAGTTGCAACTGCATACATCCAAAGAGCCTCTCTGATTGGGGTATTGCGCGTTGCTGTAGTACTCAAAGTTTTGGCACCAATGCTGCCATTTCAAAGTATGTTATCAAAGAGGATTAAAAAAAACTCCAGGGCAACTCTAGAGTCAATCATTGTCGATAATCATTCAGATTGATTAATCTATCATAGGTGCAAAAGGCACGTGCTGTCACAACTGCCCCTTGTCACACCAAGATATTATACACGAGAACCTCCTCTGCGAAGTCTCGTTTTTCAAATTTGCGTGATTGTTTAAAAATGAATGCACAAAACTCTTCAGCAAATTCACACAGCCGGATTAACTCGTCTGACAAGCAGTGAACTGATCATGTGCGGGACACTTGCTCTCCGGGGGCGTATCACCTACGTCACCCTCCCCTTCGTCACTCGCGGGACTTTCCTCGCGCTCCTCAGGTGAGCCTGTGTCAGCCTCGTGTGACCCGTCGCTGTCTGGAGAGTGGGAGTCCTTGGACTGAAAAGAGGCTCCAAAGTGCGCAGACAAGCCGGGGACAGCGACAGCCGATGGCGCGGGCCCCGCCGATATATTTTGTGGTATATTCACAAAAACTATTTACAGACACATGCCACTTTATATAACAGCTGATAAGAGACTTTAGGCGAAACCAGCTGAAGGAAACTACAAAAGCAATGTCATGTATGCAAAACGATACAATGCAACAACGAAAATCATTCGTTTAATCAGTGGGGAACTTTAAAAAGCTGAACAGCCCTACGCTTGCAGGATTTGAATTCTCAGAAAACAGGCCAAAGTTCCTAAAATGACAAAACTGTTGGCGTCATGACATGACCACAGTTTTCTTTCCCACTTTTGTCAAATATTTGAAAAGTGAGGTTTTCCATGATGATAGCATATAATGCAGAATAATGGATAGTCTGGCGTGTAGTGATGCTTTTGCTTTGAAAGAACTAGAAAGGAGCACTGTTTTGTTAAATTTGGACAAATTACTTACCACTTTACTGCATGGAATCGTCACAAGCACCCGGTATCTCTGTTCTGCTCTTTTGAAATAAAATCATACATATATTATATATATAATTTTTGTTTCAAGACAAATCAACACAAAGAGATGTACAGCGCTTAACTTTTGAAATTATAATGTGACAGCTGGGGGGAGATAAAAGCAGAAAAAGTGCACTTTACATCTCAAAGAATAAAGATCATCCAATATACAAACTTTAACAACTGGGAAAGTACAGGTACATTCAATATCAAAGATCTATAAGGTGCTATCCTACAATGTTTCCTGGAGGTACCGAGAGTTACTGCATCTCGGTGCTGAAATACTTCATTCAGGAGAGGTACAGTATGTTGGTCAGGCAGCCCCTTAAGAAGGTTTTGCATTTCCATTATTCTTAATGATTTCAGTGATTTTTTTTTTCTTTCCTCACAAAAACAATCATTTAAAGGACCAGAGCAAACTCGGATTTGGGAAGGTGAAATGAGGGAAATCAAGATTAAATACCTTTCCCCTTTCTCTCATTATTATATCCGATTGTTAAAGTAGCTGATTTTAGTATTTGTGGTTAGTGATGAAAATGGTGTGTGTTGGGAGGGCGGTACCATTCAGTTCTTCTGGAGGGACAATGATGTGCCTCAAAATAAGCCTACAATGCAAAGCTGGGATGAGGTACTGTAGGCGTTACACTTTTAGGAGCACTTCTTTTACAGGCCCATTTAGTGCACGTTATACATTAATGAATCACACTGTCTCCCAGGTAATAATATTTACAGTCAGAGTCAGCCAACCTCTTAATAACCTTGGCAGAGGTCAGTTGCAACTGCATACATCCAAAGAGCCTCTCTGATTGGGGTATTGCGCGTTGCTGTAGTACTCAAAGTTTTGGCACCAATGCTGCCATTTCAAAGTATGTTATCAAAGAGGATTAAAAAAAACTCCAGGGCAACTCTAGAGTCAATCATTGTCGATAATCATTCAGATTGATTAATCTATCATAGGTGCAAAAGGCACGTGCTGTCACAACTGCCCCTTGTCACACCAAGATATTATACACGAGAACCTCCTCTGCGAAGTCTCGTTTTTCAAATTTGCGTGATTGTTTAAAAATGAATGCACAAAACTCTTCAGCAAATTCACACAGCCGGATTAACTCGTCTGACAAGCAGTGAACTGATCATGTGCGGGACACTTGCTCTCCGGGGGCGTATCACCTACGTCACCCTCCCCTTCGTCACTCGCGGGACTTTCCTCGCGCTCCTCAGGTGAGCCTGTGTCAGCCTCGTGTGACCCGTCGCTGTCTGGAGAGTGGGAGTCCTTGGACTGAAAAGAGGCTCCAAAGTGCGCAGACAAGCCGGGGAAAGCGACAGGTACATGCACTTTTCAATGTTACTTTTGTCAAAGAAAGGCATATAAGACGCCGCGGCCGAGGGATTGATGAAGTAGAAAGGCATGCAAATTGGTGTCTGCTGTCCCACACTGCTTATTCCAATCAGAGAGTTCATAAAGGCCAGATCAGGCCTGGTGGGGTCTACGCCCCCTAACCCGTTCCCAGACCAGTTCATCTTTGGCTTTTTGGCAGCGCGATCATCTCCAAACTCTTGCTTGATCTTCACTGTCTTGGGTCCCTGCACCTTATTGCGCTCGCATTCTTTATCTTTGCCATCGCCCTTTTCAGCTTCGCCATATCCACTGTCCGTGTCTGTGTCATTCTCGTTAAACTCCCCGCCTTGGGTCCTCTGGATGACCGGGACACAGTTGGCTTGGCTGTCACCTTTCTGCCCATCCCGTGCGTCCTCGACAGGCAGCTGGTGCTGGAGTGACGGTGCACCGGGCTGGAACTGCGCCAACACTTTGTGAAGGTGGTTGATGAGCTGCGCGCACCTCTGCTCGCTTGTGGTCCAGTTCTCAAACTGACTCAGGTACTGCAGGACTTCTTTGGCACAGGCCTGGAACCCGGAGTGGAACGCATCCAGATCTGCATGAATGGAAGATTTCATCGGTCGGTCCCCTGCGAAATATGCAGTGCAAAGTTTAACAGATGATCTCTCTTTAAGGTGTAGCTAGTCACAAGTCAGTGACAACATAAAGTGTATGCGTGGCAACAGCACGTTTACTTGTCTGTGAACATATGTCTTTCTAACATGTAAATATGCCAAACAATAATGTTCATCGATTTTGTGGTTTTCACCAAATGTGCTCTTGTTATAACTGAGCATACTGTCCTCGATACCCATTTCCTAACGTTTTATGAAGCCTAATGCAGCATAATCTCACGGGAAAAGATCATGAAGTTTCAACGTGGATCTTACCATTCTGCAAAGCAATAATCTTTTGGTGCTGCTGCTCAGTGACAGCAGTCAGAGCGTTTAAATGTTTCAATGTTAACTCCAGGACAACTGCTTTCTCCAAATGCCCGAGCGTCTATGGAGAAAAACAAAGATTCAGCTGACTGTTTACGAGATCTCTGTCATGTGAAACCGGGTTCTCTGAGCACGTAAAACGCTATTGTAATGTCATGATCTCACCGACAGCTTCAGATGTTCGGGTAACAAATCTTTCAGTTGCCCAATACATTCGTTAATTCTGTCTCTCCTCTTCTTCTCTATCAACCGGTGTGGTAACTTGTATGCGTCCTGCTGGCAAAAACACAAGCGTTTACTCTACTGGAACAGAAATATGGAAGCTGGAAGTTATAGAATGCAACATATGAATTGTGTGGAGTTCAAGGAATATTCAGATGCTGGTTAACCAAAACAAAAAAACTGGTTATTAGGATTTGTATTAAAAAAAACGCGCGAACCTTCCCACCGTCCTCCCGTTTTATTCCTCTCTTGGATTTGCACATGTAGAGAGAAGGATAATCCACCCTAAGGCAGCGAGGGAAATGCACGGTTATTTACTAGGTTGTCATAACAATTTCTTAAACAGAGTTTGCCAAAAGTGACACTCACCCCAAGAAATCTGCGTGCTCCATGAACTGCCTGTCCTGTAAATGCGGTATTCTTTCATCCATCGCGTCTCTGTTGCTGCTTATCCTGAGATTCTTGGAGTAATGTTTGTTATTCCACTATCCACACAAGGACGACTAAGGGGAGATGATGTACAGTGCGTGTCCTCCGGTGGAGCTGCGCCTCAGACTGATATCTATAGTTTCCTGAGCTGCCACTTTGCAAAGCCGTCGGAGCTGTGGTTAGAGCGCAGGCGCGCCTCCGGCGAGAAACAGCTTCCGACTCACGTGTAGCCTGCACCAGCACAAAGTCCGGCAATTAGACCTTCTCTGTGTTACAGCAGCTATCACCGCTGTTCCAGGAGCGATGCAGTGTAACCATTGCGACCTGTAGCGGAGGAAAAACTGCACAGACATGAAGAGGGACAGGCTATTAATTCGCGTATAGCAGCGTTTTTGCACAGTCCTTCCCCAAACTTTGCAGATCGAGCTTCTGTTACTGTACCAAGTGGACCACGGGCTAACAAACGACCACACAGGCTGGTTTTATGCCATAAATAATTACAGTTTAGAGGATCCCACAGAGGAGAGACTCTCCTCCTAAAAATGATGTAGTTTTTCTGCTTTTGTTTGCAGCAAAACCTGGCAACTTTCCCAGAACTGAATATCATCTATGGTGATCTATAATGAAAACATAGGGGTTAGTGTGACGCAAATACAAAATATAAACATGGTGGGGGGGGGGCACGTCGTGCGCGTTCATGCGCTCTTGTTACTTCCTATTGTTGCCCAGGGCAGGGCAGCCTACATGTCCAGTCATTCAAAACTGAGTAGTCAGTAACCATGGCACCGACCCGTCTGTGTGCTCAAACACGTGCGCCTCGGTTCTTTATTGATCTCAGCATGGGCGCTGCTCTCCCACCTTCCCCAGAGTGTCTATTAGCCTGATAATAATAATGTGTGAAAGACTGACAGCGAAATTGCTAATTGATGTTCCCTGACTTTGACTTTTGATTTGTGGTATCTCTCAAAACAGTATCTAAAGAATGATTGCATTGTGCAAAAAATAATAAAAGTCACTCAATTCATGATGCTGTTAGGCTGTTACATTCACTACTGACAAAAGTAGGCAAGATCTAGAGCTTTGCATCAAATATGTGCTATTAAAAACGACAAAGCTTGTATAAGTGTCGTCGAGAAGTTAACCTGATAGCAACGGACACCTCTTCCCCTCTTATTAACATTAGAATTTTCACAAACTGAGCCCCTATAATGCCCTCACATGCCTTATGATCACATTACTTCTTCCTGTATGTCATGTGACTTTTTCAGCCTGGCAGCATATGGCTCTCTTGTATAACAGTGTTGATAAAGAGTGATCCAGTCTCACTGATTCTCAGAAGTGTGGCTTTCTTTTTTCATTAGCTCACTCCATCTGATTTGCCTCTTCCCCTTTTTCTTTACTGACTACAAGTGAAATCATCTCCCAGTCGTATGTTAGAATCCCCCTTTGTGTCATCCTGCCCCCTTTCCCTCCTCTTCCTTTCCTCCACAATATGCTGCCTGCTCTATATGTGGCACTGGATCCGCTTTAGGAATCCCATCCAAATGTTTTCCATATTAGTTCAGAGCCTTCTCTGTTTCCAAATAGCAGCCAAGCTAGGTTTATGGTGAAAGGAGGCCTTGGCAGGGAGGGGAAGGAGAAAGAGGCAGACACCAGGCAGGCTCATTCACCCTGATCAGTAAAAGTCGAGAGGACAGACAGAAAAAGAGCGTTAAGACAGGAGAAGAAATGGGGCAGGGGCAGAAACGTTCCTCAGACAAGAAGGAGGGCAAGAAGAAGAGAGATGAAAGTCCAGCAGCAGAAGATGGCAAAAAGTGTAGAGTCTGTCGCTTCCCTGTGCTTGTTGCCCTGCTCCAGCTGCTGTTGGGGGTGGCTGTCACGGTCGTGGCCTTCCTTATGTTGGCCATCAGTTCCTCACTCCTGGTCAGGGAGACGCCACACTGGGCTGGGATAATTGTAAGCACCATTCTTATGATCTAACATCAGCAACTATATTCACAAGCTTGCATGGAATCTGAGAGTCCCATTTCTGATACTGCTGCATGACCCTCAGCTATGTGTACTGTCCATGCTCACCATGTTGCATTCAGTGCTGGCTTCCCTGCCACGACAGACGGTGACTGTAGGGAAGTCACTGGTATTGTCATGTTCTAATGAATCTCCATCTGTGTGATGCATGCAGCTAAATCTCCAGTCCTTCTCAGTCACACAAGTCCACTTTGCACCTACTGTCATTTTTCACTGCATGTCCTACAAATACTCAACATCACAGCATGTCGTAATTCCAACCTGACAAATGAACACCAACATGACATCAAATCACTGTTTTTGAATATGATATGCTTACATCTCGTCATCCTTATCATCTGCCTTACCACACATTCAGTTCCAAAAAGGTTTGAGTGCATAAACAGTTGAAGATAAACTTTCTTTTTAATTACATTTGCGTGTAACATGTCTAATTTCAAAACAGAGAAACCGGAAAAGCTACGTTTTCAAAAGAATATTACATTGTTTTAAATGTCATAATATATGAATTATTTTCATGTATTCAAATGTTGTTTGGGAGTTGTAGTTTAATAGGATGCACTTAAAAAGTTGAAACCTTAGTTTAAGCCAAGGTACCTAACTAGTAGGAAGCACTGAAGGCTTACTAGAACAGCCTACTGGGCACAGGCCCAGGGACCCAGGGGGTGAGGGGGGCCCTGGGGAGCCTCAGTATGAATTGACTGTTAATGTCTACTTGGAAAGTCAGGATATGCAAAAGGAGTAAAACTGGATGCAAAACAAGCACAAAGAGATACAAGTAAAAATAGATGCCAAACAAGTATAACTAGACCAAATATGAGTACAAAGAGACAAAATGACTTCTCTTTTTCACTCTGATCTTATATAGCGGAGCCGTTAAGATAGCAGAGTTGCAACACTGAGGGGTCACAAACAGCAGCAGGTCACATGACTCCTGTAGCTTCTAGGAGTGCCAGACAGCCAATTCAGATCCAGTGTTTTTTGTAGGGAACAGCAGGATGTATCAGCAAATTAGTATTTTGCAAACTAATTGTTCCGTTGTTGTAGATAGCTTAGCAAATTTATTTAGTTAGCTAGGTACCTAATTATTAAATTGACCCAATGTTTGAGACAGACAGTCAAAAGGTTGTAAGACATGTTTTGACATTGTGGGCCTTTGGTTCTTCTTACCATTGCTAACTCGGAGAGACGAGACAGTCCAAGTAACTTCAACACAGTGCTGATTTTTTCAAAGGATCACAGGTAAAATTAACATTACACACTCGGATATCTTGCACCTCCAACCTGCACGCAGGCAGATGTAAGATGAAAGACCCTGAACCCACCAGGCCTATACATTATATCCCTTCGGTTGGGCTAGCCCCATACTACACAGAAACGGCAACCGAGACGTCTCTGTTACCAGCTTTGCAGCTGGTCATAGCAGTAGTCAAAACATGAAGTAAATCAATGTGTGTGTGTCTGTTGATTAAGTGGTGTGTAGCTAAAAACATTCTCACATGACTTCTAGTAACATGTCGTGACTTAAACATAAGAACATATTATGGCTAAGGCTACAGTTATACACGTCATAATAATAATATTAACCATCCTGTCTGCTGACAGTCATCAACTCTTCTCTCTAGTTATCCTTGACCAGATGTACCCTGTAGAAACTCATAAGCATGACTAAGCATTTAACAGTCTAACTAGACATCCTATCTCCACTAAACATTTCTAATACATAAAGTATCTATCCAATTTCTATCTGACTAAAAATACCTAACAACATGTTGCTAACTCAAAAAGTCAAAAGTACAATTCTTGCCCTTGATTTCAACTTCTTACTTTAGATGATAGCAGCCAAGTCATTGTAACTCTGTGGTGCTGCTGTTAATATTTGAAACTATTCAGCATTCCAATGATCCGCCATTATTGTAAAAAACAAAAAACAATCTTTATAGAGTCAATGGAGATGTTTCCACTCTTGTTCTAAATCCACTCTGTTATATAGGAGGGATGGGGGCCTTTTACATGTTTGTGCACAGTGGCTCATGGTCTCATGATCTGTCCATCGTACAAAGTGTCAGTGTTAAAGCTGAAAGTAGGTAAAAATTAAAGCGTGAATTCGGTTAAAGGCCTGCGGGAAGTTGAGTTGTAAACTTCTTTGCAAGCACTAAAAGTGTAAAATTAACAGCTGAGCTGAGTTCAAAGCGGTTGGGGTGTCAGAGATGCTGTTCATAAAGGATGTGAAAATGTCAGTGTTTGAACTACAAAAACAATTGAAAGCAGTTGAAGCATCATTTGAAGTGTAATGAGGACAGTTTAAACTTTACTGGATGAGTAAAAGTTTTGGTGGAACTGTAAACAATGAAAACACTTGAAATTTGATTTGAAGTGCTACAGAAGGTGAGTCAACAGATAACATGCAACTCTGTCAAAACAATTGAAGAGTAAGCAAAATAGCATTTAAAATTTCAGTTTAAGTATAAGCCAATGACAATTAAATGGCTCTTTGCAATCTGTTATGACAAGAGAATAATGATAAACTCTCTGTGACCTTTGTCATATAAAACAACAACAAAGTACTTCTCACTAAGATGAGTTCACATTTTGGTGGTTGGGTCCTAACTTAGCTTATCACTCATGCCGTCAGGCCTTGAAAATATCCTTGGACACCAACATCCCGAGTTAGATCCTCACGAGATTCATCTCAGTGAAAAACACTGAGATCATTTTTGAACTTTCCAGGGTGCTTAAGAACCTGGGAAAAACATTTAAACAAGATGCTGCACGTTAGTCACAAGACCGCAATTCCAGTGCAGCGATTGTGTGAGAGTGTCTGTGTGAACGTCGGGGGAGAGAGAGGGAAACTAATATAATCAGATGACAGCTCCCTGCTGAATCATGCAATACTAAGAGAACGCACAATAGATCATCTGGAACAAGATTCTTGTTTCGATTCTGTCTTCTAGCAAACACACATACTGTATATTGTTAGGTATTTTTAGTCAGATAGATATTGGATAGATACTTTATGTATTAGAAATGTTTAGTGGAGATAGGATGTCTAGTTAGACTGTTAAATGCTTAGTCATGCGTATGAGTTTCTACAGGGTACATCTGGTCAAGGATAACTAGAGAGAAGAGTTGATGACTGTCAGCAGACAGGGTGTTTAATATTATTATTATGACGTGTATAACTGTAGCTTTAGCCATAATATGTTCTTATGTTTAAGTCACGACATGTTACTAGAGGTCGTGTGAGAATGTTTTTAGTTACACACCACTTAATCAACAGACACACACACATTGATTTGCTTCATGTTTTGACTACTGCTATGGCCAGCTGCAAAGCTGGTAACAGAGACGTCTTGGTTGACGTTTCTGTGTAGTATGGGGCTAGCCCAACCGAGGGGATATAATGTATAGGCCTGGTGGGTTCAGGGTCTTTCATCTTACATCTGCCTGTGAGCAGTTTGGAGGTGCAAGATACCTGAGCGTGTAATGTTAATTTTACCTGTGATCCTTTGAATAAATCAGCACTGTTTTGAAGTTACTTGGACTGTCTCATCTCTCAGAGTTAGCAATGGTAAGAAGAACCAAAGACCCACAATATCACAGTGTAGTATAATCAAATTGTATCATGAGTATATAAAGTCAGAAATGCATGTGGTAATGAAGGGACATATAGCAAGTATTATACACAGTAAATCTAATCAAACCATATCAAACATGTTTTGGTGTGTTGCAGTTATGTCTGGTTTCCATTGTGGGCTTCATCCTCTACTGTATCACCTACATCCCTGATGAGAGGACGACCAGGCAGTTCATTGTCAAGGTGAGTCTACACACACCCTGACACTTATTTTATTTATTTAAATGGGGTTTTTTTTCTTTTGCAAAAAACAAAAGTAAACAAACCAGTTTGCGATTGTATGTGCCATGTATGGAGTCAAATCAGGTTCCTTATTCATGCACAGCATCTCTCTTTGAAAGGTTGTAGATTCTTAGTTTTATTAACAGAAGTGATCGGATTGATCAGGAGATCTTTCAAACCTGATACTAAGAACTGACGTTCTTCTGAAACTGCAGCTATAAATGACAGAGAGAAAGGCTTTTTAACTGCATTCCTGTTTTTTAAAAAAAAGTTCTGTGGGGATTTCTGCGAGTGGATGAGTGCATTCGTTATCCCGACTTGATCGTACAGCTTAATTAGCCATACAATATATGCAGCTGGAATTTCAAGGCGACTAAAATCAGCCCTGGGAAGCGGCATCCTCTTCTCTGGTGTGTATACCAGATTAAAATATGTACATACGCTGCTTTAAAACACTTTTGCATGATGATGTTCTGGTAGTGTATGTATTGGATAGTTTTTAAATATAACCAAATGTCTTTAATCACCAAGATTACAAGTATTGTTTCAATTAGCATCTTAATATACAAAGTTTCCAAAATGGGAATATTAAATGGTTTTATATGAAGTTATCACAGCGATGATGTCGTTCACCAAAATCTTGCTCGAGTTGTTTTACTTTGTGCTCCCATATCTTTGTCTTCACTTTCACATCCATGAGTACTGTTGTATCAGACATACAGCTAAATAAAGCATCCCTTTAAACACAGCTAATAATGTGTACGCCAAAGCAGCTGCAATTAGCCCGCTGTTTTTCTTTATGGCCGTCAAAACAAATGTACTAATGTCATTCATCCAAACAGCTCAATGGCTTTGCGATATTCACTCTTAGCTTCATTTATAGTGTCACAGTCAGTTCATTTATTTATTTCTGCTGCCCATTGTGCAGTGCTCTCAAGATGGGAGTTCCAAGTGGAGCGAATAGAAAATGGGCTGTAACTGTAGATGTTTCTGAAATCAAGTGTTTTGGCAGATAGGTGTCCTAGCTGTACGAAAGTTCTATCACTTTGTTAAGTGCTCACTTAAGGGGTGTTTCAGGGCACCATTTCCGCTGTAAACGGGAAGATATACTTTCTACCTGCTTTTGGGTTTGAGATCAATTCCATTTAGTGAAGCGTGTGATTTTCAGCAAAGCACTTGTTGATGTGCATGTGCACACCCCATAGCCTGCCATACCCCAGATTTCACAGCTGTTCCCAAATTAACGTAAATGACATTTCAAATCAAGGACTGCTCATCATTTGTACAACTCCACAAACAGCATGTAACAGAGAGCAAAACACACCAGAAAATGAGGGCTGCTGTTATGTAAGCCACAGATTCAGATGAAGGTTTAGTGTTACTGAGACTGTGCTATAACATAAATAACACAAAACCTCTGTCACATTTTACAGGGGTATTTTTAGACACACTCTGTTGTTTAGCAGACAGGATGTTCACTAAAGGTGGGAAGCGGCTGTAGCTGCAGGGCAGTCTTAGCATGCTGTGTCTACTCTGTGCAAAGAGCTGAGCTCCTACTCTGAGGGTCAGACCTTGCCCTGTAGCATTGTGGGTAATCTCTTTGAATTAAACTTGCCATAGGCACCAAGCCAGCATGTCTGTCTCTAGGCTGCAGTATTGGCACTCTGTATTAATCATGAGACAACAGACTAGAGCAGGAGCTGGATTTCTAGAACATAGTTAAAGATCAGAAAAGGTTGGCTGATCAAAACTTTCAAGGTAAAAATGCATCACCTCATATTTGTCCACTTCCTTTTCTAGCTTCTCTACTTTATCCTGTGTACAGTCGGCCTGGTTATTTCAGTGCTGGTTATGGCTTTCGCTGCACACCACTACTCACAGACCAGCAGCTTCATCTGCGAGAAGGTGAAAGAGGACTGCATGTGCATTCTGGACCCAGGTGACCCAATAGCCCGCACCTTCGCCTACAAGGGGGTCAGCAACTGTGATGTGATCACCGGGACACTCGCCCTTTACTTCTTGATCCAGATCGTGCTTAACATGCTCCAAGCACTTGTCTGTGCCGTGGGTGTCTTCATCATGTGGAAGCACCGGTACCAGGTCTTCTTCGCTGGCCTTCAGATTGCCGTTCCCTCTGCCCAGAACTGGCAAAAAGTTTGATGTGATGATGACAGAGTTGAGAGAATGACTGATTAGTCAGTCCAGCTGTGTGATTACGCTACGAAGGAAAAGGGACATTTGGCATTTTGTTGGTTTTCTCTGATGTCAGTTTATATTAACCTTTTGCAGTAGTTGTACTATAAAGGCTTTTTGTACAAATTGTATGCACCAAATAAGAGACTTTGTACTTCCACTTGCCAATGTTAAAATTATACTGAACAGATGAAGAGAAGTAAAAGAGCTGGTCTATTTTTGAAAGACTAAACCAATTATTTGTGTACCACAATAATTAGTTTTTCAGTGTTTCCAATTGTGTTAACATTTCCTCTCATGATGTACAACTCATACAGTATACAACTACAATATAGACAAATTATAATCAAAACACTGAAAATAAAATGTTCTAGCTCATTTGTTTTGCACTTAACTCAAAAATTGTACACACTTTCTTTTGGTTTGACTTACTGAGATGTAATGATCATGATGACCTGATCCATGATTAGCTGCTTTGGGTGGCCCCCTGGATCACTGTGTTCTTATATTATGGCTTGCAAATGTTAAATGAAACCAACTAAAACTTGGGAAACAGTTAAAAGGTCATATACTGACTAAACACAGCAGAAAATGTTAGTGTCCCACTCTTTTTGTTTTAAATTAATATGTAAGTGCATCTTTATTAGTTTCCAATAAAAAAAAATCATTCTTTAAAATTGTTTGCAGCCACCTGCTGTCACCCATTTTCATTGTTTGACACAACAAAGGAATTAGTTGAATTCCATAAATAACTTGTTTTATTTTATTTGCTGCTACACTATATAAACCTTTGCAGCTTTTCAAATATTGCTTAAAATCACTGACCCATAAAAAAAGCACCTTTCAGCTAACAAGCTTTCTTATAGTCCAGTTAAATGCAGTGAGAGCTGATCCTCACAGCAGTAACACAACTAGGGCAAACTACACTACTGGAGCCAGACTTGAACTGGGCTGTGGCTTGTGAACGTGGGTTGCCAGGCCAGGAGCCAGCACAACTCAAACAGCCTGTAGGAGTCAAACTACTGCAGCCGCAAAGGGAGAGGGAATGATCAGGGGTGAGGAAAGGGGGACTGAGACGGGCAGCCAGACTGAAGTATCCAAATCATCTCAGCATGTCTGTAGCATTTCAGTTGTTTTTCATCCAGGCAGGACAGATGCCCACAGCAGTCACGTACAGTCTATACATGCTTAACAGGGAACCTGAGCCCGTTCTGTAGCTAATTAGATGAAACATGCCCAGAGGGAGAGTACTAGTGGTGTGCAATGTTACATGCACTTTGTCCATGATGACTAAAGGTTGACTGACTGGGGAATAGATATGAAAATAATATTTAATCCTCATAGAAGTCCAAGCCTAAACATGGTGTTTGGGAAAGAAACTTATAAAAGTTTAAAGTTTAAGGTTGAGTGTGTATAACAGGAAAAGCTGAAGAAATGTGAGAGGAGGGACGGGAGAGATGTGGAGTGGGATTGTAATGAACTCAATGGAGGACCCCGGGATGCTGCATCTAACAAACTGGGAGTGAATCAGGTGGAGGAGGGCGTCATTCTTGGTTTGCAGTGGACATTGTAGCACCTAAAGGAATATTCCTTGGATAATGCAGAGGTTTTAAATTAAGACTCTCTCTAAGTGATTGCTAAACCAAGATTCTGTCACAGGAAAGTTTTCTGGGGTTAGAAATGAAGAAGAAAAATGGGTAACTGGCCACAGATTGAAAGGGACAGATGAGAGGGTCAGTGCGTGCCACTGTTATTGATCAAGCACCTCTATATTAGCAATTAGGCATAAACTGTAGCGACTAGGATGGAATGGCAAATCAGAAAATGAAATCTCTCTTAATGGGTTTAATGAATTTAAAAATGTTGGAAATGTTCAACTTTTGTGGAAAGCATTTTAAGTGTCACACCAACTGAACTGCAAAATATGGCCAAAATAAGTGCTCCAGGTGAAATCATGTGACTTTAGGATGGAGCTAAGCCATTTCTCATGTACTAGGTTGATATGCTGGCTGCCTGCAAACATTTAAGCAAGAGGCCTTGTGTTTAAGACAGTGCGACAGTTCACATAGGGGGAGCTTTTATACTGGTAAGAGATAAAGGTGTTATGATGGCCTGGCCAGTGACAGATAGTGATGATAAAGTTGTACATAACAGATAACCATGCAGTGTTTATGGAATGATGTTAGTGTCAGTAGCTTGCACTGGCCTTGTATCATTGAAAATCATGGGAAAATACACATTAGAACAGAATTTATCATCCATATTAACAACAACAGAATCCACAACTATGAGTAATCTGACGTGAGCAAGACACAAAGTCATGTTTGTCGAGGTTTGGCTGTGATTTTGGCGTGATCATGATTTAAATGCAACTATACACAGCGATCACTCTAGCAGCACATTTTGTAAATATGTTCCTTTTTTTATTATTTTTTACTTTCATAACATCACAGTGTTTGCAGTGATCTCTTGGACAACAAGCAGCAGATAACTAGAACATTAAAATATTATTATTGGAATGATTTATTAATTGTTTAGTTATAAGCCTGACTCTCTCATACTACATCTGCAGTATGTGGGACAGAGGACACGCCCTTTAGTGTTTTTCCATGTGCTTGTTTTGTGTTTTAATGTTGATGCATCATGTGACTACAAAGGCTTGGTCTCACAGCCAGACGCAGGAAGTCACATGCCAGTCATCATGGGGGCTTGTTTATTTATAAAAATGACAGTGAAGAGGGACCTTCCCTATGCTCCTTGCTCAACTTTGTGTGGTCAACTGAAAACAACAGATGACTCTCATGCAGCTTATTATGTTACTCTTTTCAACTATTGTTTATATCCAGTTAAATATAAAGTATAGCTAAAATTTACTGCCAGGTGTCATTTTGGTTTGGTCCTTTCAGTGCCTGACTCACTCAAAGTGCTTCTTGCCACTGAGGTGTTTGGGACGTTGCCTCAACTTTACTCAACTTTACTGACCTTCACTGGGTGTTTTCTCACTCTCACTACTGAAATCACTCAGGCTAAGCATGTGACTCTTGGCTGTGGTTTGCAAAGAGATTCAACCATGACTGAGATCTAAATGTGTCTAAGGATGTGTTCAAAAAGTAAATAATACGCCGCTCACGTGTGTTAGAAAGGGTTCAGTGTGTACTGAGGATGAAATGAAGCGGACTATCTTCTATCCTAAGCTTGTATTCTCCCAAATGATTTGACAAATGGACATTGAAGTTAAATGTTTTCTATCGCTGGTCCAAACATACATTTCAGATGATCTGTTTAGGAAGTGATACAAATTGAAGCAGTACATGTTGGTACGACACTACGGCGAGAAGACTTTTGCCAGATGTAATGATGGTCCTGGTATTACCCCGAGCCCTCTGCACTCCCTTCCCTCTCCTAGTCCAATACATTCCAGTAATGCTGCACTTTACCCTTCTTGTCTACACGGTGACAGCTGCTCACCATTATGGCATTGCGTGAGCTAATTTTAATGGCTGTCACAGGCAGCAGCAGCAAATGCTGGGCTGCTAGCATAAACAGCGAACTGAAGCCAAAAAGGATGGGCTTCTCTGTAGAGGGTAAATGACAGGGCAGGATAAAAGACCAGTTGAGGCCTTTCTGTGGGTCGTTTAGCATGTCAAACATGTTATACAAGCACAAACATACAGACAATCAAACAGCCACGGCTCTGTAAGCTTCATTACCCCAAGTGCTAAATTATCAACAACGTGGATGACAGTGCTCAGTAAAACCAGTGCCAACAGAGGAATCTCATTTCTTTAAGAACACATTGCATCACAAAGAAAAATTTGTGAATAGACAGAAGTTCTCAGTGACAGATGCTTCTTATTTACATCTTCTAGATGAGTGGCTCCCCAGCTATTTTTGTTTTCCACAAGCACCTCTACAGCCCTGTCAGATGAACTAAACCACTCTGCCATGGACACAGTGTCCCATGCTACAAATATGTTCATTTGAAGTGAAGTGTTGACTATTAGTTTGCTTAGAGTGGTAGAGCTCTGGACATTTATACATTATCAGCCATTTATCACCAATTTTTTAAAATATATTTTAATAATTTTTGTCTTTCTGCCATTTATCTAATACTTTTAGCAACTGTTTAGCCTTCCATGCTACTCACTTCTCCACATGTAGCTGGTTTAATCCATATATGTAGTGTTTTGTTTTTTTTATCCACTCATTGTTTCTATTTTGTCAAATTAGTTGAGCTACTCTGTAGTTACAATTACACTTGTTTGGTAGTCAGTGTTCTAAAAAGAAAACAAAGCATCTTTTCTCTTAGTAATTTAAAAAAAATAATTCAGTTTCTAATAGAGTATTAAATTTGGATAAGACCAAGGCTTATGAAGTGGGCTGATGTGAGAACAAACGTTAAATTGCCAAATCTGGTTTAGTCTCTGTGCATCATATTAACTATTAATTAGCTACAATGAATTTCGAGATGAACTAAACAAAACAATGACATCATGTCTCTGTTAACTTACTAAATAAAGAGCGGCATTTTCCTACGCCCATTGCTATCTCCATGGACAAGTACAAGTATGAGAAAACACTGGTGTGTGTGTGTGTGTGGACAGGGGTGGGTGCAGAAAGGGTCAAGGTGAATGTGGGGGAGTGCTCATTCATCCCTAACAACAACAAGGACTAAAGCAAACTGCTGATTCAAAGCACACCAGTGAGTCATGTTACAAATTTATTACAACACTCAACCACATAAAATATGTTTCTATACACTTTGTTTTACCAGAAACTGTCACAGCATAGTCACCATCAAGTACATGCACAAGTAGTCTGCCATTTGTTTGGGCAGTTTTAAAATGCAAAATGAGGCTTGGCCCATAGTTGCAGTCCAAGAGAGACTAGTGTGAATGATTTACACTAAAAATCTCTAAGAAAACAGTGGGAGATGAACATGATATGAGCAGATACAGTAAATAGAGACACAGACATAGTATTAGCTGACATCTCTATAGACATGAGGATGTTCATATTGTAACAAAAAACCATCTTCAAAGCTGTCGGTATGTCATTATGTACCAATATAAGATTTAGATTTTTCTATTTCAAGCAGGTTTTGTATGGGTAATCATTATTTTTATTCGCATTTCTGTTACTTATGTATTCTGTGAAGAAGGCAACAGAAATAGTGCAGTGAGTGCATTTTTAAACACAACACTACACGAAGCATAAAAAAATAATAGCCCCAAATTAGCCAATGTTTCCAGTTACAGCTTTAAAAAAGTGCACTTTCAGCAATTGCTGTATACCGTTTATAATAAAAGTTAATGAGTAAGGCAGCATGAATCTTTTTCCAAAATGCAGAAATAACAATCCAGTTTATTAACCGTGCATTTTCTTATAAATACCATCAGAAATCTAAAAGATAAAGTGGAAAATACTAGCCGTTAGTGCACACACGTCTCCCCTGGATTCCAATCAGAGATTAAAGAAGCCCTCAGTGTCACAGACCTGTGTGTGGCCGGTTAATCTGCACCGAGACAGCTGAGGAACGGAGGCCGAGACAAAGCCGTCCACAGACTTGACAGCACTTAACCATTAACCATGCCTTACCATTTCCCTTAACCTACGTCTAGCGCAC